GACAGAATATTTTTTTTTTTTTTTTTTTTTGCTTTTATGTTTGTCTTTTTTTTAGATGGAGTCTTGCTGTCTCTGGATTCTGTTGCTTACAGTCACATCACTATGCCTGTTTTTTTTTGTTTGTTTGTTTGTTTGTTTGTTTTTTAAATGAGGAGAGAAGTAATCTAGAGTTGATACAGAACTAAAAAATCTTAGGAGTAATATGTTCTTAATCTGGAGTACGTCTTTAAAGTAGGGGATGGGACGAGCAAATGGCGTAATGATTATGTTGCTGTACTCGCAGTAATTGACCGTCGTTCGAGTCCTAGACCCAGTGGGCTTAAAACTCATATGTGTGCATGCGTGCCCAAAATCCCAAGAGGAGAATGGAGAAGGGGTTGTGGCACAGCCATTCCCCTGGGGGATGATTTCTTCCTGTCTGTCTCTCTCTCTCTCTCTCTCTCTGTCTCTGTCTCTCCGGTGAGCACATATGCCCTATAGCAAAAAAACTCTCTAAAAATAAAGAAAGAAAAATGAAATTATAGGGGAGAGTCTTTAGCTTTCACAACCGTGTCCCAAGGATTCTTGCCTCCCAAGTAGGAGCCACTAAGTTGGTCATCCGTATCTCCCAGTAGAAACAGCTGCAGTGGGGGGTGTGGAATAGTCTTGTCTGAGAGCATGTGGTTGGAGTTTAGATTTGAGATCCAAGCCTCCTGACCCAGTGTGCAGGGCTCCTTTGCCATCATCCTTTGTTGAACAGCTCACCATTCATAAAATGAGGTCTAAATGAGACGTGAGTGGCTTTTGTACCACACATGTCAGGGCTGAGTTTACTACCACTACTCCTTCCCAGAATCCTGAATTTCCTCTGATAGATTTTTTAGGAGCTACTACGTTATCTCCCTTATAAAATTCAAATGGTTTCTGGGAATCTTTCTCTAAGGATCGAGTCTCACAGTGAAACCCCAATATACAACTTGGCAACAAATAAACTAGCTATCCTTGAGCTAGTCATCCATTTTACTTTTTTATGCCTGCCTTCTTTTAGACGTAAAAGCTGTTGTTAGATTCTCTGTTTGGCCAGTGCCAGAGGGTGAATGTCAGTCTGTCAGATTACTGTGCTGCCCAATATCACAGCCACTAGCCATATGTGGATACTTCAATTAATTGATAAAACGAAATTAATTTAGTTACTCGGCTGCATGTCTAGTGCTCAGTAGCTGGATGTGGCTGGTGGCTGCTATATTGGACTGCACAGACATAGAACAGTTCCGTCATCATGGAGTATTGAACAGTGTTGGCTTAGGAAGGTTGCCAGTAGAAATGGATAGTGTAGCATAATGAAAGACGGCCCAGACAGTGGATTTTTGGTTTTAGTTTTGCTTTTTAAAATAGAAAAACTCCTTTAGGTCCCTGTTTGGGTCTGATGGCTTCAGGCAGATTGTTAAGCATCTCAGTCTTTCATTTGTACAGCAGGTGACTGCACTCAGATGGAGTTTTCTTTCACATCTCTTGAATCTTATACCATGAGCCTGGGATGCTGGGTGAGACCTCTCTATACATGTCAGAGAGGGAGAACTGGACCTAAAGCAGCCAAAGCTGCTGATAGGGGTGTAAAGAAGGCTCGTACACATAGGCAGCTGCTGCATGTCTGAATGAATGAATGACTCAAAGAGACCCTTTCCTTATTAAAGTCTTGAGGGCTGGGGCCTGCAGGAGGTGTAGAGGTTAAGGCGCTGGACTCCCACATGGTCTACTGTGGTTCGAGTCCTGAACTGGCAACTTGAAACTTACTCCAGGTGCATATGCAGGTGTGCCCAAAATCCCAGGTAGGGATTGCAACGTGGCCATCCTTCCCAGGGGATGATTTCTTTTCTTTTCTTTTTTTGGGGAGAGGTTTTTGCTCTAGGGCACGTGCGCTCACCAGAAAGAGAGAAACAGAAGGTGAGAAATCACCCCCTGGGGTTGGTCACGCAGCAATCCCTTCTCCATTCTCCTCTCGGGATCTTGGGCACGCACGCACACGCACCTGCGTGAGTTTAAGCCGCCGGGTCTAGGGACTTGAACTGCGGTCGACTACAGGGAGTTCAGCGACATAGCCATTATGCTAACTGCTGGTCCCCCAGGGGGTGATTTCTCACTTTCTCTCTCTCTGGTGAACACACATACCCTATAGCCAAAAAAAAAAAAAAAAGTCTCTCAAAAGAAAGTCATGAGGGAGGGACTAAGACTTCTGACTCTTGGCCCATTTCCAAAGTAGAATCCTTGTAATGTAGGATTCTTGTAATGTGGTGTTAATAAATCATTGTGTTGAAGAATTACTCTCTCTCATCGGTGAATATAAGTGAAAATGCTATCTAAGCCATTGCCTCAGTTTGCCTGGTCATAGGAATGACCCGAGATATTTGTTAAAAGCTTGTCGATTTCCATGCCTTCTAGAAATTCTGGTTTAGAAGGGCTGATGTGGAGCCCTGCCGTCTGTATGCTTAACAAAGCAGGTGCTTCTCAGGAACTGTTGAGTTTGGGAAGTGTCTCAAGTAAGGACCTTGCAGAGGTAAGGGATTATTTGATTAAGAGCCTGCTGCCTCTTTTAGGGTAGATTCTTCAAACTTTGTATTTGACTTTCCTCTCTTTTAGCCATGGATGCATCATATGATGGTACTGAGGTAACTGTCGTGATGGAGGAAATTGAGGAAGCCTACTGTTATACCTCTCCTGGGCCACCCAAGAAGAAGAAAAAGTATAAAATACATGGAGAAAAGGCCAAGAAACCCAGGTTAGTCACATTTCAGTTGCTACTGGCATTTATAAACAAATCTACTTGGACAGCTGTGCAGAAGGAGGCTTTAAGGTTCATTGAGAAAGAATGCAATTGTTGAAGTTTCAGGACGAGTGGTGGTTGGGGGAGCGGGAGAAGGGTGTAGGAAGTGACTGGACTTAATGCCAGACTTTGCCATTCCTGGCCAGACTGTGCTTATGTTTCCAGGTTATTGAAGGAAATTGGACTCCACATGGTAGCTACTATTGAGTCATCTGGAAAGTCACGATGCATTTTTGCATAGAAAAACAGAGAGAAATATGTCACTGACTTTTCCGAAACCTAATATATATGAAAGAACTACATTAAGTATTTTGCCTTTTTTTTTTTTTTTTTTTTGGGGTTTTTGCTTTAGGGCACACTTGCCAAAAAGACAGAGGCAGACAGAGAGACAAAGCGAGAAATCACCCACCGGGGGGATGGCCACACCACAATCCTTTCTCCTCCATCCTCCTCTTGGGATCTTGGGCATGCATACACGTGCATGTGCCCAGTGTGAGTTTAAGCCACCAGGTCTGGTACTCGAACTACGGTCGACTACATGGGAGTCTAGCTACATAGCTGTTAAGCCAACTGCTGGTCTGTACATTAAATATTTTACCATTGCTATTTAAGTATTTAAAACACGGTAATAATAAAATCACAGAACTATGAATAGTACCAAAGTACTGTAGAGAATATCCAGTTGCCCTAGTCTCTCTGTTCACAAACACTCCAAGCTTCTTACTGAGGCTACCAGCATTGCGTCTCTTTGATAATTCTACTTGTTTTCCTCTGCCAGTTCTGGGTAGGTGCTGTTGACTAGTTAGATGACCCAAGGCTGTTAGAGAAGTGAGAGTGTATGTGGAATGAGATGGGTAATCAGCCCCTACCTGTTCCCTAGGAATGGAACGACAGGACCCCTGTATGCTTCTTGAATAAGTTTACATTTATACATATTTATATAAGTGCGTGTGTGTGTGTATATGTACACACACATACATACATACACACATACGCATAATGTATATACATAAAATTGCCAGAAGGTGCGTGTGTTTGCCAGAGAGAGAGAGAGTACCACCCGATGGGGTGTAGTCATGTCACAGTCCTTTTCCCTCTTTCTCCATCCCATCAGGATTTGGGGTATGTATGCACACATGCCTATAGTGTTTTTCAAACTTCCAGCCTTGAATTTCAACCATGGTTGACTGTGTGAGATCTGGCTCCCAATGCATAGTGCTTAACATTGTGCTATGAGGTTACGTGTGTGTTCATAAGTACTTTTTTTTTTCACTGTAGGATATGTGTACTTGCTACAAAGAAAAAGAGAAAAGGAAAAGCACCCTCTGTGGAGAAGAGTCATGCTGTGATCTCTTCTCTATCTTGCCTTCCTTTGGGGATTTTGGGTGTGCTTGCACATGTGCCCAGATTGCAGTTGTGTTGGCCATGTGGGATCTGTCTGCCTGTGCACAGTGCTTAACCATGGTATTATGGGGCTGGCTGTGATTCGGGTTTTAAACCTAACCATTACCGCAGGAAAAGTAGTCAGTAGGAAGATCAACCCAGGAGCCTTCACTTCCAGGTTTCTGAAGGGAGAACAGCCATGCAGACTTCTTTCTTTGTTTGTTTCTTTTTTTTTTTTTTAAGAATTACTTATTTAATTTTATTTATTATTGTTATCACTTTTTCATTTGCTCCAGAGCATGTGCACTCAACAGAGAGAGAGAGGGAGGGGGGGAGAGAGAGAAAGTAAGCTGCCAGGTCTGGGACTCAAACTGGGGCCAGCGATATGAGAGTTTGTCACGCAGATTTCTTTACTATTCATTTTGGCTGCCTCCAAACACCATGGTGGGGGGTGTTATTTAAATGTTTCTTTGCTTGACTTTGTCCTTGTTTAGATAAATGGCTTGAAATGAGAAGCTGGGTTTGGTATCAACCCTCTTGGCTACCAAATCCTGCCATTGTAATACTTAGTGGTTTACTAAGATGTCATTGCTTCCTCAGGTCTGCCTACCTTCTATACTACTACGACATCTACCTGAAAGTGCAGCAGGAGCTCCCTCACCTCCCTCAGTCCGAGATCAATAAGAAGATTAGTGAGAGTTGGAGGCTCCTCAGTGTGGCTGAGAGGAGTTACTACTTGGAGAAGGCAAAACTAGAGAAAGAAGGTTTGGATCCTGTAAGTAATTCTTTCCACCTCATTTCTCCATTGGTGCATGATGAAGGCCTTAGGGAGCTTCCCCCCCTCCCATTTTCCTGTTTTCTTTTCCTAGGAAAACTTCTCACCTTACCTTAATTGAGGTGGTGCTATTTCTTCCTTGATGGTGTGCTGCACTCTTCTGTCCTTTTTGATTGCAGCAGTACATTTTATGAGTTCTTAGCAGTGAGTCTTAGGTTCCTTTTTGGAATTTTAACATAACTTGGAAGCCCCCCAGCCTCATGAGTAGTTATATTTTCTTATAATACAGTAATTTATATGAATATTTCTCCTATACCATGAGTTTTTGTACTACAAGTTAAGTGTAATGTGTTATTTTAAAGAATTATTTAACTTTATTTTATTTTTCTTTAAATTTGCCCAGAGAGGGACAGAAGAGAGAGAAAGTGAGAAAGCAAGTCGCCAGGTCTAGGACTTGAACTGCGGTCAGCCATGTGGGGAGTCCAGTGAGTGCCCTTAGTCACCACACCACCTGCTGGCCCCAGTGTAATGTATTTATTTTGTATTATCAGTTATATCCAAGAATTGGGCTTGCATATTTAGAGGTAGGAACAGCTGCATTGTGTAATATTACATTCTTTTGTTACCACTGGTGGTAACAGCAGTAGACACAAAGATTCAGTGTTAAAGCCAGAGATGATGGAGGAGGTTTAGGCTTTGGTACTTGAATGAAAGAACTAGCCCAGAAGCATTTAGTTTTATATCTGTCAGCAGTTTTGTTATTTCTAGTTCACAATAACAACATACACTGACAACTATTTAAAACTTTTTTTTTAACTGAAATGCTTACAGGAAAAGTAACTTTGCTATTACAAGCTGATACCTTTTAACCTTAACTTCCTTTTAAAATTGAAACAGTTGTCTTTAACTTTTTGCTAATGTAGACTAAAGCTTCCTTAGGAACCGCAAGAACGATAATGCAGAACAGGCTGCATTTTCTCTTGTGGGAGCCCATCTGCCACTGCCATTTGGATTATTTTGTCCTTATTGGCCTGGCATTCTTCTCCCTGAAAGAGGCTTGTTTTACTTGCCGTCTTGCAGACACCACTCTATTTCCTCCTCAACGTGATTTGTTTATAACGGTAAATCTGGGAGGTGATCCCTGTCAGGGAGAGGGAAGGTGGAATCTATTCCTTTTTTCCCATGATAACATCAGCAATCTTTTTGTCCATGATAAAGAAAATTTTACGTAATTCTGGAGTGGTTTAATTTTTAGCACTAGGTAAGTTGATATCAAGAGTTTTTAAAAATTAAAATAAATCATAAGAATTCTTTATGTTTCCCACCATCTCCACCGCATACTGACTTGGTCAATAAAAACCACTCTGGGGAACCAGCAGTTAGCGTAATGGCTATGTCGCTGGACTCCCACGTAGTCGACCGCGGTTCATGTCCCGGACCCGGTGGCTTAAAAAACTCACGCCGGGTGCATGTGCGTGCGTGCCCAAGATCCCGAGAGGAGAATGGAGGAGAAGGGATTGCGGCGTGACCATCCCCCCTGGGGGGTGATTTCTCGCTTTCTGTCTCTGTGTCTCTCTCTGTCTGTCTGACAAGCACACGCGCCCTACAGTGAAAATCTCTCAAAAATACCACTCTGTAGTACACGCAATATCCACTGACCATATAGTAAGGAAAGATGGCATTTTCTGAGCATCCGGGGTGAAGCTTTGTGTTTACCCTCCCAGGTTGCCTGGTATGAAGGTGAGACCCTCCTGCTTGAATACCGTGGGAGGCCGTGAGAGCCTGTGGCAGTCTGTCCCCTCCACCGCCCTCAGGTCTGCCAAGTGCAAGGCCATGGTTCTGGTGTTATTCTTTCCAGTTTGTAAAATGAATGCCACCTGGGCCATCCTGGTTTGTTCATGCTTGAATTTATCTAGTCCAGACCATTTTGTGTATTTATCACCATATGGCTTTAGTCTGCCAGCCTATCAGCTTCAAAGGGTGACTTCAGACAGTGTCAGGTCCCCACACCTCCCAGTAACAGCTCCGTAAAGGATTTGGACTGTCTGCTTTCATGCCTCATCTGAGTGCTTTAAACTTTTCATCTCTCAGTATTTTCTTTGCCTTAAGTAGTTTTACAGCTTCTTGCTTTTGATACTATTGTAGTTTGACTTTGGCATTCCTTTTAAAAGATGTTCCTGAAGTCGTTTTTTTGTCCCCTTTGATTTCACTTTTCACTTTGAATTTTTCTATTTTCCTTATTAGAATACTTGCAATTTAAATTGAAAAAATAATAGCCATATAGGGTTGTGCTTCTAGCATCTGGTCTTCTGGGTCCTTAGGGGACCTCGCTTGGAGTTTTACCGCTTACTAATTTTGTGTTTGGGGGAAGTTTACGTTCTTGAATTTTGGCCTCAATTTCCCCAGTTTAAAAGAGGATAATAATAGTATATAACTTTATAGTGTTTATATGGTAAAATCAGATAATGGATTTGCAGACATTTTCAAAACCTTAAGATGCCATAATAGATCAGTGTTCATATTTTTTTTTAATTACCAGAGAGTACATGTACTTAGCAGACAGTGAATGGGTGTAGTCACACTGTAGTCCTTTCTCTGCTTCTCCATCCTGTTTATATTCTGGGCATGCACACACCCAGCATGTTTTTGTAAGCCGCAGGGGCCAAGATTTGAACCTCAAGGTATCCATTTCCCTGAACCACTAAGCCATGGGGCCAGTACCATATATATGTACTTTTTTTTTAATGTATTTTTTTTCTTAATACATTCAGGACCATCAGATACCCCTTCTGCATACACGTTTTCTCATGAAGCCTTCTTAGCTCCATGATCTGTTTATCCTCTTTGTAACTCTACGTGTACCAACGAAGTCAGAGTCCTTACCTGCTGCCTTAAGTTCCAGCTTGGCCTTTGACTTGTATTTTGTGTGTTTTGGGTTTTTATTAGGTATTGTGCATTCTGGTGTTTAAATCTTATGCTACTGTAGAATCTTACTGTATCAAAGTTCAAAGGGAACCCTTAAGTTTTCAGATGCAGCACCCTTTTACCCATAGGGCAGCTGAAGCCTGAAGCAGGGAAGGGGTTTAGTTAAGACTATGCCAGACCTGGGATTCAGGTCACAGTTTCAGATGCCAAGATCAGGGCCCTTTGCAGAGTTCGGTCCTTGTTCACTGCTTTTTGTGTGATTGAGGAGTAAGCTGCGTTGGCTAACATGAGATTCAAATGAAAATGACAGTGCTTTTAAGAGAAGCTGACCCTGTCGAGCTAGGTCCATAGAGTTGAGTTTTTTGGGTCTCATTTGCAGAAAACCAATGAGGTCATAAACGTATATCCACATTGTCTTAGTCCATTCATTTTTGCTTCTCTCCCACCTCTTGGCCGCTGCTTCCTCAGAACTCTAAGCTCTCTGCACTGACTGCTGTGGTTCCGGACATCCCAGGTTTCCGCAAGATCCTCCCCCGCTCAGATTACATCATCATCCCCAAGAGCAGCCTACAGGAGGACCGGAGCTGCCCTCAGCTGGAACTATGTGTGGCTCAGAACCAGATGTCCTCGAAAGGCCCTCCTCTTGTGTCCAGCACTGCCCCGGAGACAGTGCCCAGCCATGCAGGCGTGGCAGAGCAGTGCCTGGCTGTGGACGCCCTGGCTGAGGAGGTAGGAGCCCTTGCCCAGCCAGGTGCTGTGCAGGAGATCGCCACCTCAGAGATCCTCAGCCAGGATGTGCTCCTAGAGGAGGCGTCCCTGGAAGTAGGGGAGAGCCACCAACCTTACCCGACAAGCCTGGTAATTGAAGAGACTTTAGTGAACGGCTCCCCGGACCTTCCCACTGGAAGCCTGGCTGTGTCCCACCCCCACGTCGGGGAGAGTGTGTCAGTGGTAACAGTCATGAGGGTAAGTGGCTTTGGTACTGATGTCTTTTGTTTTATGGAGTTGCTGAGTGGGTACCATGTCGTGTGATTCTGGAGCAGTGGTCGTAGGGCACTTCTTGGGACTGCGGTTCTCTGTAGTGTTTCCTGTCCCTGGGCTTGCTCCAAAGTTTTCTTCAGTTTCTTTTTTTTTTTTTTTGGAGAGATTTTCACTGTAGGGCGCGTGCGCTCGCCAGACAGACAGAGACATAGAGACAGAAAGCAAGAAATCACCCCCCAGGGGGGATGGTCACGCCGCAATCCCTTCTCCATTCTCCTCTCGGGATCTTGGGCACGCACGCACACGCGCCCGGCGTGAGTTTTAAGCCACCGGGTCCGGGACACAAACCGCAGTCGACTACGTGGGAGTCCAGCAACATAGCCATTACGCTAACTGCTGGTTCCCAGTTTTCTTCAGTTTCTTATCAACTCCTACCCACTCCTCTTTGCCCAGCTTAGCCAGAAATTTCTTCACACAAGATGGTATGTGAGGTACATTGGCAGGTGAGCTAGAATTGGTATTTGGGCTGCCTATGATTCAGTCAGGGTCTGCCAGGCTGTTGATATCAGTCAGGATTTTTTGTTCCCTGAACACTGTTTCAGCAAGCACAGTGTACTGTGAACTGGATATGAGAATGTTCAAAAGGTCTTCCTGGGCACAGGTAGGGTAGGAAGAAGTTCTCTTTGTGGCCAGGTTGAGGGGACTGATTGCTGAGAAAGAAGAGGCAGGTCTCTTTGCAGTGGCCTAAGGTTCATGCTCAGTTGAAGGAAAGCAGTTGTTTCAGTGATTCCACACTTGGTCCTCTGGGAGTGGGGGAGCTGCCACCATGCCTAGCATATGACCTGCTGTACGGTATTACCCTAGGCAGACATCCTCAGAGGGTTGGGATGCTTAGACTGAGAGGACCAGTATGCCGTAGCCCTCATGGCCTCGGCAGAAGACAGCACGTCCTTCCAGGTCTAAATCCTTTTTATTTTTTGCTTTGGTGCTGTGTATGATAATGATGCATACCCTTGGCCTGGTAGATTAATAGGGTGCCAGGCACATCTATTCAATAGAGTCAAAAGTTTTTTTTTTTTTTTTTTTTTTTAATCTTGGAGGAGGTCCTGGGTTTCTTAGAATCTCAGTTTTCTAACCTGTTAAATGAGTATGGTACACTTCCTATGCTAATAGTTTCCTCTTTCTTTAGTCCTATTTATTTTGAGATCATTGTAGATTCACTTCTTTTGATAAACACAGTTGGATAAGCTCATTGCCGTTACTGGGCTTGATCCAGTCTTGATCCAGTTGTGGGTGGCCCTAGGTGTTCTTTGCTGTTTCAGTGAAGCTGTCACTTTCCATTGCCTGCAGGATTCCAGTGAGAGTGGCTCCTCGGCCCCAGCCACGCAGTTCATCATGTTGCCTCTACCTGCCTATTCAGTTGTGGAAAACCCCACCTCCATCAAACTGGTTAGTATGTGGGGAACTGACGGTTCTTAGAACCTTGAGACATTGGGACTGGCAGAGGTGTCAGGGATTCTCCAGTCCTTGTGGTTCTTAGTTTGTTTTAAGGTTTTTGCTATAGGGCGTGTGCACTTACCAGAGAGGAAAGACAGAAAGAGATGGTAAGAGGGGAAGTGAGAAATCAGCCCCCAAGGCAACTGGCCATGCCACAGTCCCTTCTCTTCTGGATGTACACATGTGCCAGGCATGAATTTCAAGTCACTGGGTCTGGGATTCAAACCGCGGTTGATCACATCAGAGTCTAGCACCTTAACCACAATGCCATCTGCTGGTCCCACATGCTCCATGTGTTTTTAACTGGAGAGTTCTGTAGATAGAGCTCCACAGTATCCGTGAACTCCCCTGAGGTTGTATACAGACTTTTTTCCTAGAGAGCATTTTCCTGGGATAGGTTATATGGCTTTTATTTAAATTTCAGGAGCATATATGATTGAGAAAAATTAAGGAGCCACTGATTTAATTAATTACTTTACAGATGAAAAAGGCCCAGAGAAGAGAAGGTATTTCTTATTAAGATATCTGAGCTACAAAACAATCAGGATTCTGGTTCTTTTCTTTTTCTTTTTCTTTTTTTTTTTTTTTTTTTTTTGCTAGTGAGTACAGGAAAGTCATGTTGTATTTTTCTGTGTTTTTCTATGCAAAAAATGTGTCATGACTTTCCCGACAATCCAGTACACAATTGGCCATTTGGAATTAGTTCGCCTTAACCACCAGGCTACAGAGCTAGCCCTCTTTCTTTTTCTTCTTTTTCTTCTTTTTCTTTTCTTTTTTTTTTGTGATTTGCCAGAAGGTGTATGTGCACTTGCCACAGAAAGAGAGAGAAAGCACCCCCAATCAGACATGGCCATGCTGTAATCCCCTCTGCATTTCTCCATGCTATTGGGACTGTGGACACTCATCATGTGTATGCACCCAGCATGTGTTTCAAGCCACTGGGTATAGGACTCGAACCACGCAGTCAGCCATTTGGGATCCAGCCACCCTAACCACCACACCACTGGCTGGCCCTATGAGAAGGTTTTTAATTGTAAGTCCAATTTTTTATTTTTATTGTTTTCAGTTTTTGCTTTAGGGCACATGTGCTCACCAGAGAGAGACACAGTGAGAAATTACCTCCCGGGTGGATAGCCACACCATATTCCTTCCTCCACACCCCCCCATCATCATCCCCAACAGAACTCTGTAGTCATTAAATAGTAACACTCCCATGCCCCCATTGTCATAGCCCTTAGTAATCTCTATTCTGTCTCTATGAATTTGCATCTTCTAGGTACTCCTTGTGTCTAAGTGGGATCATATAAATATTGCCATTCAGGTGTGGCATTTTTCCCCCATTAGAGAGAACAAGCAGAAAAGAGAGAAATTTTTTTTTTTTTTTTGAGAGATTTTCGCTATAGGGCGCATGCGCTCGCCAGACAGACAGAGAGAGACATAGAGACAGAAAGCGAGAAATCACCCCCCGGGGGGATGGTCACGCCACAATCCCTTCTCCTCCATTCTCCTCTCGGGATCTTGGGCACATACGCACACATGCCCGGCGTGAGTTTTAAGACACTGGGTCCGGGACGTGAACTGCGGTCGACTACGTGGGAGTCCAGTGACATAGCCATTACGCCAACTGCTGGTCCCCAAGAGAGAAATTCTTGACAGAGTATTCACAAGGTCATTTCACAGTCCTCCTGCCCCAGCCTCCCAGTTAGCTAGGTCCACAGGTATATGCTACCACACCCAAACTGCATAGGTTGGCTCAAAAATGGACCCTGAGCCTCCCCTGCAGACTTAGCCACTGAACAGCAGAGCCTGCCCACTTGTGCTACTATGGCTGCCCCTTGTGTGTGCTTTTGTTTTCCTTTTTAAAAATTTTTCCAGGGGACCAGCAGTTAGCATGTAATGGCTATGTCACTGGACTCCCATGTAGTCGACCACGGTTCAAGTCCTGGACCCAGTGGCTTAAACTCACACCGGGTGCATGTGCATGCATGCCTAAGATCCCAAGGGGAGAATGGAGGATAAGGGATTGCGGCATAGCCATCCCCCCTGGGGGGTGATTTCTTGCTTTCTGTCTCTCTGTCTTTCTGGAGAGCACACGTGACCTATAGCAAAATCCTCTCCCCTGCAAAAAAATTTTTTTTTTCCAGAGAGTACATGCTGGTGAGAGGGAGGAAAATGGAGAAAGCAGCCCTCAATAGGATGTTTTCATGTTGCTGTACTTCTCCATTTCTGTGTCCTGTCAGGATTTTGAGCATGCATGCATACACACCTGGCATGTTTTTCAAGCCTCCAGGGCTGGGATTTAAACCATGCAGTTGGTCATATGGAAAATGGTTCCCTTAACCACCAGCCCATGGGGCCAGCCCTCTAGTAATATTATTTTCTCTGTAATCTACTTTGTCTGATTTCTAGTTTTTTATTTTTTATTGTTACTGGCAAGGTATATCTTTTTCATCTTCTTACTTGTAACTAATTTCTATCTTCGTTATTTAAAGTGGTTTTGTTTTTGAGAGCATATACTTGAATATAAAAGCAAGACTCATTCAACAATCCTTTTTTAAAATTTTTATTTATTTATTTATTTTTAGATTATTGCCATAGGGCATATGTGTTCGTCAGAGAGAGAGACAGAGACTGAGAGAGGGGAGGTGAGAAATCACCCACGTAGGGGGAATGTTTCCATTTTCATGATAGTTTACTAATAGAACTAATCTATCTTGAATTTTTAATCTGCTTTCTGGGGGGTGTTTGGAATGACGAGTGTATCAGGCCCTAGTCTGAGAAAAGATCAGAGGTGTTTGATATCCTAGTAATGACAGTTTCTCACAGATCTGTAGAATCTTTTACAGTTTACTAAGTGAATGTTTCCTCATTTGTCCCTTCATTTGGGATACACCTGTGAAATAGGAAGAACATGTGATTGTACAGAGGAGGAAACCCAGGGCCTACAAGTTTAGACTGTTCAGTGTGTTGGTGGCAAAGTTGGAACCCAGAGCCTGATCTCTTTCCTTGGTGCCAATACCTTTGTGTACTCTTTTTTGACCTGGTACTGCTATCATCATTGCTTTTTTTTTTTTTTTTTTTTTTTTCTGTCCTCCTGGCAGAGGTAGCTCGTGGCAGTTTGGTGTTTTCCCAAGGGAGGATATTGCTTTTTGGCCATCCTAGGGAAGCTGGGATTAATAGCTGGGTAAACATAAGTGACAGAGTAAATCTGACAGGGAAGTAATTTCTTTCCAGCTTTAATCTGGAAATGGAGCATAGCTAATGAATGAGTAATTTTTATTTGTAGTTGAAATGTAGTAACCCATTGTATAATAATATACCCTGCTCAAAAGGAGATTAGTGGAAATAGTGAGATAGTGAGAACTAGTGGCTGAATATATTTTTTTCTCTTTTTTTTTTTTTAAGAGAGAGTTTTACTATGGGGTGCATATGCTCACTGGAGAGAGAGAGACAGAAAGTGAGAAATCACCCCCCAGGGAGGGTGGCCATGCCACAGTCCTTTCTCCATTCTCCTCTTGGCATTTTGGGCACAGACACACACATGCCCGGCATGAGTTTTAAGCCGCAGGATCTAGGACTCAAACCATGGTCAACTACATGGGAGTCCAGTGACATAACCATTATGCCATCTGCCAGTCCCAGCTGAATATATTTTCATATGCAAACAACTAGATTCTGTTGAGTGTCAGAGGACCTGGTTTCTACTGGATTTCCCTCTCATTTTTCCAATAACTGCAAATTTACTTTTAAATGTCTAAACCTGGGTCCTGGGTTCTCTGACTTTTAACTAATAAGAATGAATATGGAATGAATTTAGAGGCAGAGGAGTGCAGCTGGTACATATAAGGAGTCTAGGACCAAAAATCAGTGATCCAGATCACGGGTATAGCTCTGCCCTTGAGCCACTGTCTTATTTGGGGTTGAGCACTCAACTTCTCTAAACCCTAGTAGTAATCACACCTAATATCGCTGAGAGTAACAAATGAGATATTAGTAAAGTATTTAGCACCGTGTGCTGCTTTGCTCTATTAGTAGCAATTACTACTTTATTCATTTTTCTGGTACCTGGCTGTGCAACCTTAGTCATCTGTCTTCCACCATTTGAACTCGGTTTCCCCATATCAAAAAACTGAACTCTTACCTTGGAACCTTTCCAGCTGTGTCCTTTTATGATACTATGTATTGGCTCTCCTTCTACAGGCCGGTGTCTTCGTATTGCTGCGGTTGTAATGGTCATCAGGGTCTAAGAGTTTGGTTTGTGATGCTGATTCTGACACTCTCTCTGCAGACCACTACCTATACCCGCCGGGGCCATGGAACATGCACTAGCCCAGGTTGCTCCTTTACGTACGTCACCAGGCACAAACCACCCAAGTGCCCTACCTGTGGTAACTTCCTTGGAGGAAAATGGATCCCAAAGGTAAGAGTCATTGGCCATCACTGCTTTAGAAACCCAACAAAGTAGGCTTCCTGCTGCTCTTAGGGACAGGCGACTTTTAAGAGTTCATATTCATTTTCATTTTCTCACTACACTAAGAAATCACTTTCATTGTAAACTGTTTAAGAAAAGAAAAGCAAAATAGATTAAAATGTTGTCCATAATTTTATACAAGCCAAAGAAAAGCCATTATTGGTTTACATTTTGGTATATTTTCTTCCAGTTTTTTCTGTGAAGAAGTTTTGTGTCTTTTTTAATTTAATAATAAATCATGTCATTAAATATTCTTCAAAAATACTGTCCTTAATTTCTTCATCATTTCCCATGAATACCATGTTAATATTATTCACTCCCTGTTATGGATGAATTTCACAATTCACTGTCCACACTGGCTGCCTAACTATTATGCAGGTCCAAAGCTCTGTCTTTTCACTTCTTAGCTCAAAATCCTTTCAGTCTCTTATAGCTCCTATTGAAAGTGGGCACTCTTAATTTGAAATTTGAAATCTTCCATAGTCTAACTTGATGAATGTACACTGTCTACCCACTTGCCCCTCTCTCCCAGCCTACCTCTCTCCCTCCTTCCTAAAGCCAACTCTTTGGTTACTTTTTAAAATTTTACCATAGGGTGTGTGCGCGCTTACCAGAGAGAGGGAGAGAGAGAGAAAAAGTGAGTATTCACTCCTCAGGGATGACCAAGTTGCAGTCCCTTCTGCACCATTCTCCCCTAGGGATTTTGGACACATGCTCCTGGCATGGTTGTCAAGACTTGGTTCGAGATTTGAACCATGCTGTGGGCCATATAGGATCCAGCTGCGTTAATCTCCATGCCACCTGCTGGCCCATCTATTTGTTTTTCTGTGCCTGTTATGGATGCATAATCATGGTTTGTGGCTCTTTTAAACGTTAGTTTGTCCATGAAACACCTCTGGGTTTTCTTAGGGAAGGAGGGGTGGCTTTACCTGTAAAGTATATATGGCTTTAACACTTTTACTTAGTGATCATCACATGTTTTGTTTGTTACTAAAATAATAAAGAGCATGTACACACAGAGAGAGCATGGACGAGAGAAGGACCTTTGACAGGGTCTTGTCATGTTGCGATCCCCTTTCCTCAGCCCTCCACCTCCTCTGTGTCTCCCCTTTCCCTTCCTCCAGAATATTTTCTGGACAATCTGGGGATCAAGACCTGTGACCAGCCATGTGGCTTCCAGCCTTGCTGGTCACTGTGACCACCTGTCATAATGGCTGAACTGTCATCACCATTTGAAAGTGTTGCTGTTCATGTCACGTGAGCTGCTTTCATTCCCCACAGCCTTTGCCCATAGTAGATGCTCAGGACACAAATGAGCCTCGCACTGCACCTTTGTGAGTTCAGTTCAGAACGTGTCGTTAACCTGTTGTCTGCCTGGCACTGACTCTGTAACACATACTTGCAACCTTTTAAATGAGACTAACTTTTTAAGTCCAAAGTGAGTAAAGTAGGCAGTAAGTTTCTCAGGTCAGAGAGGAGAGACATTAGGGCTGAAATAGGGAAGGTTTTACAAAGGATATGGTCTTGAAGGAGTAATAGAATTTGGTAGGTGGGAAAAGAAAGAGAAGACTCGCTTTTGCAAAAATTGCTTAGGCTAGGATTGTGATTCTTATGTGTTTAACTCAACATGGTCCAAACTTACTGGTAGGGAAAACCTGTGTAGCAGCATACCTTTCAATTCTTTCTGGGGCACTGTTCCACAGAACATCTCTGAATACTGGGATGATGACTTTTTTTTTTGGAGAGATTTTCACTGTAGGGCGCGTGCGCTCGCCAGACAGACAGAGACATAGAGACAGAAAGCGAGAAATCACCCCCCGGGGGGATGGTCATGCTGCAGTCCCTTCTCCTCCATTCTCCTCTCGGGATCTTGGGCACGCACGCACACGCGCCCGGCGTGAGTTTTAAGCCACTGGGTCCGGGACACGAACCGCGGTCGACTACGTGGGAGTCCAGCGACATAGCCATTACGCTAACTGCTGGTTCCCTGGGATGATGACTTTTTGTCCTCTGCGTGAGTGTTGGAGTTCAGGATTGCACTGATTCCCAAAGATAGAACAAGATAATTATTGAGATTATAATTCTGGGGCTAGCATGTGGCCTGGTGCTTCAGGCACTGGGCTCCCACATGACCGACAGTAGTTTGGAATTCCAGACCGGGTGGCTTGCTTTCTCACTTTCTCTTTCTCTGGTGACTACAACAAATTAAAAATAATTAGATTAAATTAAATACATGTGGTTAACACAGCTGGATCCCATGTGGTCAACTGTGTGGTTCGAGTCCCAAAGCCAGTGACTTGAAAAACGTGCTAGGTACGTGTACATGTGCCCAAAGGAGAAATGGAAGAGGGGATTGACCTTATCTCCAGCAAGTGTATGCGCCCAAATTAAAAAAAAAAATATATATATATATATGTGTATATATATATATATATTAATTAATTTAAAAAACATCCTGGGACCAGCCTGTGACCTGGTGGTTAAGGAAGCTGGACCCTACATGTCTGACTGTGCCCTTTGAGTCATAGACCAGGCACTTTGAAAAACACGTGGGGCAAGTGTGTGCACAAAATCCCAAAGGAGGGAGAAATGAAAAAACTTAGCATGACCGTTCTCCAAAGGGAATGCTTTCTCCCTATCCCTCATTATCTTTCTCTTTCTCTGCCAAGCACATGTGCCCTCTAGCAAATTAAAAATGTGTATACATATATAAAATTCTGGAGTCAGCTATGGAACCTTGAGCAAGTCATTTTCTGTCTCCACTCCTTGACTGAAGTTTCCTCACATCTGTAAGTGGCAGTTAATAATAGTGCCCACCTTATTAAGGCTGTTGGAAGGTTCAAATGAGATTATATAAAGTGGATGGCACAGTCTCTGTGCATATTATGTCGTCAGTAAAATTCCCCTGCTGTCATCCTGACTGACAGCAGTATAATTAATCTCTGCTGCTGCTGTTCATGTTAATCCCATCTAGGGTCAGGAAGGCCCTGGTACCAGTGTCTCAGGAGGTTTTGATGACTTTCTTTGCTCTCCTCTGGGGTACCTCTGTGAAGCTATGGATTTATTCCTGCTCTACTTCCCAAAGAGGCCTTTTCTTGTGTTGTTCTGGTGTCATAATAATCGTGGCTGTATTAGCCCATGAAAAGTCTGGCATAGCTCCCAATAAGCTGGTGAACAAAAGATAGTGTATAATAAAGCAGTTTAGCTCGAGGCTTCATTCTAATGGGTGGTCCAGTGGAGGTCACTAAGATGTCTAAGTGGGCAGCTGGTCGTATTTACCCTCCATCTTGAAAGAAAATAGCATGAGAAGGGTAGGATGAGTTAAGGGAATGTGAGACCACCAGTCGAGTTTTTTTCTCTGTTTAAATTGTCCAAGCAATCTTTTATGAGGGTTGGTTTTTTTGTTTGTTTGTTTGTTTTTTGATGTGGGGGTTGGTGACAGCCCTTGACAGCCTTCCCCTAGCCTCTCAGCCAGCCAGGGTCATGAGCATTGCTGATGTGTTCAGGTTAACTCAGGATCTGAAGCCAGGGTTCCCATGTGGCTCCAGTATTACGCAGTGTTACCCTACACCCACACCACCGTGACTAAGCCTCCTACAAATGGTTTTTGTTAGAAGTAGTCTGCTAAGTAGGCAGAGTTTTGCTCAAGAGATGAATTTAGTCTTCTGTTTTTCTACTGACTTTAGTGATAATTAGGCTCTGCAGTTTATTTAGAATTTTCTCCATGTTTGATTATTTTTAAATGTTTTTATGAGTGAGAGAGAGAGAGGAGGAGGTCACTTTTGACAGGCATTCTTGCCATGGCACAGTCCTCCTGCCCAGCCTTCCAGTTAGTCAGGATTACAAGTGCATGCCACTGCAGCCCTGCCCGAACCCAGGGCACCGCATGGCCTAGCTTTGTGCATCAGTGTCCTACTGCTTGTGACTCTGCAGCCGGGTCCTTTTCTCCATGTTTACCTATCCTCAGGGGCTATTGTGTGTTATAATGTGAGGCTGTATATTTTTCTTTAAGTGTATTTACTACTTTTTTTCCACAAAAGATAGAGAGACAGACACCTCCAATAGAAAATGCATACATGTGGCTTTAGCATCGAGCAGTGTTGCATTACTGCTGTTCCACTGCATCTGGCCTGCAGAGCTCTTGTAGGTCATTGCCACTGGTTCTTAACCAGGGGAAGTATGCTGCTCAGAAGGCTTTGGAAATATAAGTAGTTTTTGCTAGTCAGTGATGGTCCTGCATAGTGAAGAATTGGTCAAAATGCTGTTTTGACTGTTGACAGAAACTGAGAGCCCCATCCTCTTTTGTTTCATAATGGGGAAATGAGAACTTAGACCAGGAGTCCCCAGCCATTGGACCACACAGCAGGAGGTGAGCAGCAGGAAAGTGAGTGAGCCAAGGTTTCCCTGTACTTAAGGCCACTCCCCTTCACTCATAATACATTGCCACTTGGGCTCCACCCCCTGTCAGATCAGCAGCAGCATTAGATTCTCATAGAAGTGTGAACCCTATTGTGGACTGTGCATGCTCGGGATCTAGGTGTACGCTCTTTATGAGAATCTGATGCTGGATATCTGAGGTGGAATGAGGCAATAATACTAGCACTGGGGAACAACTGCAAATACTACATCATGGTGAGTTGTGTAATTATTTTATTAGATATTACAATGTAATAATAGAAATAAAGTGCACAATAAATGTAATATGCCTGAATTATCCTGAAACCATTCTCCCCAACCCTTGCTGGTCTGTCAAAAAATTGTCTTCCATGAAATTGGTCCCTGGTTGAAAAGGTTGGAGACCACTGATTTAGACCACATAGGAGTAGAGCTGAGCTTGGGTGAAACCCAGCTTTTATGTTTTATGTCCCCTAGCTTCTAATCCTTTTCACATGGAAGAAAACCTGTGTCAGAGACAACTACCGTTTAAAAAAATGTTTTGGGGAGTATGTGTATGTAAATGATGAGACTTTAAAAAGTTTGTGGAAAATAGGATTAAAGTACAGGTTTATTTTGGTGCCAAAAAAAAATCCGTGCACAGTTTTTTCATAATGCATACTTTCTGTAAACTTTTTGAAGAACCCCCGCATGTATATATAAATAATACTGGTATTTGCACCACAGTGCTGATTGGATATTAGCTAAAGCATTGAAGACTTTAAAAGTAGGTCTCTCTGATACGGCAGTATCAGATATCAAGAGATGTGGTGTTTTTTAGCGCATAATTAATATGTATGAGTTAATTTGACCCAGTGTGCAGTATGTGCATATGTGCAGTCGTTCTTCAGACTCATCTGAAAGAATGTGAGGCATAACAGGGTTTTCCCCAAGGCAGTTGGAAATTTGGAGTTTAGCCACTTGAGATTGTGACCACATTGGGATTAACTGAATCTCATAAAAGAACCACCAAGGCAAATAATTTAGAACTTTTAGGCCTAATACCCTTTTCTTGATACTGAGAAATAGGCTTTGAATAATTGAAGTTAAACCCAAATCGGCAACGTATGTGAAACCTTAAGCATGTCAGTAAGAAATGTGTTAGCAGAATATCTTTATCCAAAATGAAGCGGTTAATATGAAAGTGAGAGGAACCTGGGGTCAGAAGGTGGCATGGTGGTTAAGGGTGCTGTACTCCCACATAGCCGACTGCAGTTCGAGTCTTGGACCTGGCGGCTTGCTTTCTCACTTTCCCTCTTGTTTGCTTTCTCTCTCCACCACTCTGTCCCTCTCTGGTCAAATTAAAATAAATAATAAAGTTAAACAAAATAATTCTTTTTAAAAAAAACAAAAACGACGACCTAGGTTCCAATCGGTTTTAGACTTAAGACCTTAAGTTAGCTCTTCTCCGTGGGCCCCAGTTTCTTTAACTGTTTGTATATTTTTTCAAAGATAATTTAAATTTTATTTAGTATTTTTTAGTTTGACCAGAGAGAGAGAGAATGAGAGAGAAAATGAGAAAGCAAGCTGGCAGGTCTGGGGACTAAAGCCATGGCTGTCAACGTTGGAGTCCAACGCCTTAACTACCGCGTAGCCTGCCGGCCCCGATACGTCATTATTAAGATATTTGTGAATGTTATTGTCAGCCGCAGAATGCCTTATGAGTTCAAAGTGTTCGTACTTTTTTCTAGGAAAAGCCAGCGAAAGTCAAAGTGGAATTGGCATCTGGCATCTCCTCCAAAGGCTCTATGGTTAAAAGAAGTCAGCAGCCTGTCACCACGGAGCAAAATGCCTCTAAGGAAAATGCCTCCCAACTGACCGTGGAGAACTCTGAGGCAGTCAGCCAGCTCCTGAGTGTTGCGCCTTCAAGAGAAGCGGGCGAGGAGAACGAGTGGGAGGAAGTGATCATCTCAGACGCTCATGTGTTGGTCAAGGACGCTCCCGGGAATCGCGGCACAGCAGTCACTAAGGTGCCAGTCATCAAGAGCGGTGTGCAGCCTGAGGTGACTCTGAGGACAGCCGAGAATGACGGTGCTGGAGCAGATGTGCCACCACCAGCTGAGGGAACCAGCACCTCTAGTCCACTCCCTGCTCTTAAAAAGCCTCCAGGGTAAGTTGGTGTGTTCATAGATTGCAGGACAGTATTTAGAATACAGCTGTGGAAGTTGCCCATGTTTGTTCTGTCGCTTGTCCTCACAGCATTACTGAGCGAGGCAGCAGAGCCCAGTTAATGGTTCCTGTTTTAGAGAAAGAAAACAAGGCCTCGGAACACGTGAGGGTTTGCTTTTCCCCCGACGCTCGGCTTCCATGCACTGCTGCCAGGTTCCTCCTGCCGCTCTTGTCAGTCTCCCTAAGGAGACCTTGCAGGTCCAGGCTGTAAGCCCTGTATACATACGGGTTGCCAGTCTCAGACGCTGGATATGGAAAGAGAAGCCTTATTAAGGGGCCCTAGAGAAAGAAAGAAAGAAAGAAAGTCTTCATCCAGTGGTCAGGGAACTCCGTTCTGGTGGTGGCTGCCCCCGGCTTCAGCTTGACCTTAGGCATAGTTACTTCTTGCCTCTTGCCTTGAGTTCTCTTCTCTTTGAAAAATTTTGAGTTGCATATTAAGAAAAATTATCCTTGGGACCAGCAGATGGCGTAATGATTATGTTGCTGGACTCCCATGTATTCAGCCATGGTTTGAGCTCTGGACCCAGCAGCTTAAAACTCCCTCTGGGCACATGTGCATGTATGTCCAAAATCCTGAAAGGAGAATGAAGGAAAAGGGATAGCCATCCCCTTGCAGCACAGCCATCCTCTCTGGGAGATGATTTCTCACGCTTTCTCTCTCTCTTTCTGCCTAACGAGCATGTGCTCCCTATAGCACAAATCTTTCTAAGAGAAAAAAAAAATCCTCACAGGCTGACTGTGCAAACAAACAAAAAGATTGTGTATAAAGCATGCAAACTAGGGCCTTGTGGATAGGAGGAAGTCAGAAAACTGGGGCTTGCTTTCCTTCCCCTTTTCCTCCTCAAAGCTCTTCCCAGAGGAAGTTGTGTTCTTGTAACAGAAGGCCCTTAGCGGTTTGTGTCAGTGGTTGTCAGCTGGGAAGAATTTCCCCCAGGAGACATATTGGCAGTGTTTAGAGACTTTGCTGGTTATCACAACTATGGAGGACAGGTGCTGCTGCTAGATAGGGGCTGGAGATCCAGAGGGATACTACACATTCTACAGTTATATGGCCCAAAATGTCAGTAATACCAAAGCTTTGAAATTCTGATTTATATTATGATTTTAAAACTTTTTTTTCCTTTCAATGTGATATGATCATATCAGAATCCCTTCTCCATTTTTCCATCCCATCAGGATTTGGGATACGCACACACATGTATCTGGTGTGTTTTTTAAGTCACTCAGGCTGGGGTTCTAACCTCGTTTGGCCATGGTGGGGGGGGGGAGTTCTGCTCCTTTAACCTCTATTTTGGGACCAGCCCTGTGATGTTTAAATTTATTTGTGCTATGTAGCTTGGCCAAGTTTGGGTATGTCTCTACTGGACATGTACAAAGTTTTTTTTAATCATTATTTCCTAAACAATAATGGTGTAACAGCTATTTACAAACATTTGTACTGTATTAGGTGTTGTAAGTCATCTAGAGATGACTTAAAGTGTATGGGTGGATGTGCAGAGGTCATGTGCAAATATCGTACCATTTTAAATACGGGACTTGAACATGTGCACATTTTTCTGGAACCAGTCATTGGATACAAGGAATAGCTATGTATAGATGTGTGTATATGTATATTTTTTCCCCACTTTTAAAAATTTTCTTAGCGTGGATGGTAGCATAAAATACATACTTGTATGTTTTGCTCTTTTATTAAGCACTGTACATTGGACATGATTTCAAGTCTTTAAAAAGTGAAGCTGTGTACTATAGGTCTTTTGTTTGGGACAAGCGGATCACTTTAGCAAATAGACCTGATACAGGTTCTATGGTCAAAGATGAAGGAAACACGGACTTTTATTTTAGCTGCACTCAGGTGGGCTATTAAGTACTTGCTCTAATTAGAGGCAGAGTTGATGTACTAACTACAAGAGCTATCTATATCATGCATTGTAGGCCCTGTTTTACACTTTGTATCATCGTAATGACTCCGTAACATTAGGCAATTATGACCCCATTTTACGTACTTGGAACTTGAAGTTAACATATGAGTGAAATTACTTGCCCAAGGCTACATATCTGCTTCATGGTTGAACTTGAACACAGTCTGTCTACAACCTGATACAATATTAATAGTTTAACCACCCTACTGCCCCCCAGTGCAGTGCCATTTGGGGATTGCCCTTTTGTTTTCTTCCTCTTGATCCAGAATTTCCAGATTTCCCTTGTGTTTTTCAGAGTTGACCTGCTTACCTCTGGGCCCAGAGCCCCAGAAATTAAAGGCAGAGCGCGGGGCAAGCCCTCATTACTGGCTGCAGCGAGACCCATGAGAGCCATTCTGCCGGCCCCAACTAACGTGGGGCGAGGCAGCAACGTGGGACTACCCAGGGCCAGGCAGGCCTTTCCCCTGAGTGGTGAGGGCTAGGGCAGACCTGGGACGAGGGCTGTATGCTGGGAAGGGGCAGGAGCAGGGTTCAGAACGGGATGAGCGAGGGGAGGACACTAAATGCACCAAAGTGTCCAGTCTGGCTCCTGGTTCTCTCAGATAAGACTCCCTCGGTGCGGACTTGTGGCCTGAAGCCAAGCACGCTGAAGCAGCTGGGCCAGCCCATCCAGCAGCCACCGAGCACTGGAGACATGAAGGTAAGACCCATTTTCCAGCAGCGGCCCTGTTTGGGGGACTGCCTGCTTCCATTTAATGTAACAAAGCAAAAGGCAAACCCCAGGGAGGAGCTTAACCTGAACGATCTGTCTATTTTTTAAGTAATTTTGTTTTTAAAGTATGTGATATACAACTTGGAAAAAAGTTGCAAAAATAAAAATAGTACAAAGAACACCTACATGTTGTACGATGCAGAGCCAAGCATTATTAATATGGTAGCCCATCTTGCTTTATTTGTGCTCATGTATGTTTGTGTGTGTGTAAAATAGTAATTTACTTACTTGGCCTTTTACTTCTAAAATGTGTCTTAGTGTTTTCCTAAGAATAAGATTCTTACTGTCAGAGACCAGCAGTTAGCGTAATGGCTATGTCGCTGGACTCCCACGTAGTCGACCACGGTTCGTGTCCCAGACCCGGTGGCTTAAAACTCACGCCGGGCGTGTGTGCGTGCGTGCCCAAGATCCTGAGAGGAGAATGGAGGAGAAGGGATTGCGGCATGGCCATCCCCCCTGGGGGGTGATTTCTCACTTTCTGTCTCTCTGTCTGTCTCTGTCTGGCGAGTGCACGCGCCCTATAGCAAAAACCTCTCAAAAGAAAAAAAAAAAATTCTTATTGTCTTACTGAATTCTTACCACATCCTTCTACTGAAACATCGATATTCTACTTTACTGTTTGTATTTCAGTTTCATCAATTTTACCCAGTTATGCACTTTATATAGCATTTTTCCTCGTAAGAATAGGGTCTGCTAGAGTCAGATCCTGCATTTAGTTATGATATTTCTGTAGCTTCCTTTTAAAAGTAAATGTATGGTTATTGTAGAAAACACAGCAAATTAAGATAAACTAGAAAGAGAATGGTTCTCTCCCCATCTTGCCATGCAGAATTAGCTACCATTAACAGTCAAGTGTGCACTCTTTCAGCTTTCAAGTCTTTGTCTGATTTTGTGTGTTTATTAAGTCACTATCTAGAGGAGAGGGGAGAAAGTGAGAAAGCATCCCAAAGGCGGGATGGCCACACTGCAGCCACTTACCTGCCTGTCAGTGGGGGCACACATGCATGCACACACGCCCAGGGCAGTATTCCAGCTGTTGGGTCTGGACCTAGAAATGCACAGTCAGTCATGCTGGTACCAGCTGCCATAATCATCACGCCACCAGCTGGCCCATTGAGGGCTTATTTTAAAATATTTTTGAAGCCAAACACATGACTCTTTCTCTGTGTACTAGTTTGTAGTCTATGTTTTCACTCAACTGAATGATAATAGCTATTAAAGATTTCTCAAATGTCAAAATTCCATTTACTTTTTGATTTTAAGCGTTTCCCCCTCCATGTAATGAACATAGTTATTGACTCTAAGTTAGAATTTTTCAAACTCTTTTTGACCATGACTGTTAATAACAAATACATTTTTATGTCACAGCCGAGCAAACATAGACACATCAGTTTTTTGTTTATTGTCAGAGAGCATGTATACTTGTCAGAGAGAGACAGTGTGCGAGGGAGAGAGGTAGCACCCCCAGTGAGGTGTGGTCACACTGTAATCCCTTTCCCTCCATTTCTCCATCCTGCTGGGATTCGGGGCATGCACACACACTCACGGTTTCCAAGCCTCTGGCGCTGTGACTTGAACTGTGTGGTTACCTAAGTGGCGTCCAGCTCTCTTCACTACCAGTCCGCAGAGCCAGCCCCCATTAGAAAGTAATGAAGCAGAGTTTTTATTATATATAGTCACTTTGTGTTTCCCATTCTTATTTGCAAAATGCTGGTTTCAACACATGAAACGAATTTCATGACCCCTTCAGTAGATTGTGGCCTATAGTTTGAAAAAGCTGTTTTGTGGACCAAGTTAGAATAAGAAAATTGGGAGGCCAGCAGGTGACGTATTAGTTAAGGCACGGACTCCCACATGGCCGGCTGCAGTTCAAATCCTGGACTCAGCATCTTGAAACTCATGCTGGGCATCTCTGTGTACATGCCCAAAATCCTGAGAGGAGATGGAAGAGAAGGGATTGTGGCATGGCCATCCCCCTGAAGGGGAGAGTGATATGTCTCTCCCTCTCTGTCTCTATCTCTGTCTTTGTGGTGAATGCACATGCCCTATAGCAGAAATCTCTCTTAAAAGAAAATTTTTTTTAAAGAATAAGAAAATTGGTCTGCCAGGCCAGCAGGTGGTATCATACTTAAGGTGCTGGATTCCACATGGCTGACCACAGTTCGAGTTTTGAACCTAGCCACTGGAAAATCATGCTAGGCATGTGTGCATGCCTGCCCCAAATCCCAAGAGAACGGATTGCTGTGTGGCCATTCCCAGGGGATGATTTCTCACTTGCACTTTCTTCGTGTTTCTCTAGCTAGTGCATGTGCCCTGTGGCAAAAACTTAAAAAAAAAAAAAAGGAGGGACCAGTGGGTGGCGTGGTGATTAAGGCTCTGGACCCTCCCACATGGCTGACCGGGGTTCAAGTCCTGAATCAGGTGGCTTGCTTTCTCACTTCCTCTATCTCACTCTCACCCTCTGTCTCTCTCTGGTCAAACTAAAAATCAATGAATCAATAGATAAAAAATAAAATAAATAATTATTTTTAAAAAAGGAAAGAAAAAGAAAATTGGTCTGCCATCTCTTGTGCCATATGTGCTTTGTCTGATGACTTCCTTTGTTTACAGTTCTAAATTTGCCCTAACAAGAATATGAACTGGCTTTTAGTTTGAGAGCTGTTCTGTTTACCACCCAGATATGGTGCCATTTCTGGATATATGTTTAGTGTCTGTGGTTTCCACATCTGCAGATTCAACTAACTCTGGATTCAGCCAGGTCATGCCAGCTGTCACGAAATGGGGAAGAGATGGTTTCCTAAAAGCGATGCTAAAGAAGTTTTACCTCTTTATTTTTCTTTTCACTAATGTTATTTACAAGTGTGCAGAGATGCCTGAAAGTTTACAGAAGGATATGCATAGGTTTTACACAAATGCTGTGAACGCCATTTTATGAGACTTGCACGTCCCTGGATTTTGTTATTCATGGGATATCCTTTAGCCAGTGGATACTAAGGGACTACTGCAATTTCATCTTTTTTAAAAGTTTGTTTATTTTTAATTTTTTTCATGGTAGCACGCACATGTGTGTATGTAAAAAGAAAGAGTGAGGAAGAGGAAAAAGGAAGGAGACATATCTGGTCACACTATGATCCCCTTCCTCTGACCTCCAGTCTGTTCGATTGTTTTAAGTCGATTAGACTGGAATTCAGACCTTGGTCACCATGTGGGGTCCAGCATTTTCTTTCTCTCTCTTTTTTCAAGTTGCTATAGGGTATGTGCACTTGCCAGGGAGAAACAGAGAGACAGAGTGAGAAAGAAAGAAATCAAGGAAACTTCCCCCAACCCCCAGGGAAATGGCCACATCACATATAATTCCTTCTATTCTCTTAGGATTTTAGGCACACATGAACATGGGCTTAGCATATTTTTAAGCTGCCTGTTTTAGGACTTGAACAGCATATTTGGCCATGTGGGATCCAGCTGCCTTAACTACCATGCCCAGCTAGCCCCCGTCTTTTCTTGTCTTTTCTTTTCTTTTTTTTTTTTTTTGAGAGAGATTTTTGCTATAGGGCGTGTGCGCTAGCCAGACAGACAGAGAGAGACATAGAGACAGAAAGCGAGAAATCACCCCCCAGGGGGGATGGTCACGCCGCAATCCCTTCTCCTCCATTCTCCTCTCGGGATCTTGGGCACGCACGCACATGCGCCCGGCATGAGTTTTAAGCCACCGGGTCTGGGATGTGAACCATGGTCGACTACATGGGAGTCCAGTGACATAGCCATTACGCTAACTGCTGGTTCCCACCCCCGTCTTCTCTTGAGCAGTGCATTACTGCTGTGCCACAGAACTGTCCCTGTTTATTTCTTCCATAAGCAAAAGAGACAGCGAGAGAAAGAGCACCCCGACAAGGTCATAATGCTGCCGTCCACCTCCAGCCCTCAGCCAGCCCTGGTTCATTGGGGGGGCGTGTGTCCAGTATACTCTGGGTGCTCTCCATCTTAAACCAGGAATCTTCCCACACAGAATTGCTTATAGAGCTTCTCGTTTTACCACTGTCACACTGTTCAATGCCCTGCAGTTCCCTTTTGAATGCCAACATTGGGTATTTGTTAAAAGCCTCAGCTTGGGGCCAGCTGGTGGCATAGTGATTTAAGGGCATTGGACTCACACATGGCCGACCATGGTTTGAGTCCTGGACCTGGCAGATTGCTTTCTCAGTTTCCTATTCTCTCTCTCTCTCTCTCTCTCTCTCTCTCTCTCTCTCATTCTGCCCCTCTCTGGTCAAATTTAGATAAATAAATAAAATAATTCTTAAAAAAAAAAAAGCTGTATCTATGTATCTAGTTAATGGATACATAGATTCTTACATTCTAGAAGTCAGCTTAAAGTCACTATTACAGGATAATCTAGACTGCTGTAGCTTTTCGTTCACTTTCAGTTATATAGGTGATACATGTACTCCTTACAGAACATTTGAGATGCTATAATTAGTGGTAAGGGGAAGCAGCCGTGCTCTTCCTCTCGCCCTAGTTTTTCTGTACCAATGTCGTTCAGCCATATAGTTGTTGCATGGCTGTTAACATGGGTTTATCACTGGATGGAAGTTGTAAGTCTGATCTGTGCTGTTTCTGACACATGGTGTTAGAAGCCACACAGAAGACTTGGATGTGACACTCAGCCCCTCTAGAGGGCTCACGTGGAGCCCTACAAGTTCCCCGGGAAACTGTTTCCTCAAGGTGTTTCAGGACACAGGACTCGAGTATGGCCGGAGTTCACAAGTACCAAATGACTTGTTTTGACCCACAGCTACCAAGTGGCCCCTCCAACAGGACATCGCAGGTGAAAGTCGTGGAGGTCAAGCCCGACATGTTTCCTCCGTATAAGTACAGCTGCACTGTCACGCTGGTGAGTGTGCAGCAGCGTGGGGCATTGGCGTGGACACTGTTCAGTGGTGGAGGGTGAGTGGGGGTGCTGGGGGAGAGTAGCTGGCAGTGAGAGCAGAGGCAGGATAGAGCGTCAGTGCTGAAGGCCCATCACTGATGCAATGATAGCTGCTAGGTAAAATAGCTAGGTGATTGGGATTTTTTTCCCAGATAAGAAAAAAATTCCAATTTTTATTCTCTCAAAATTGGGCTTTTTTTTTTTTAAATTGAGAGTAATCATAGATGAGAATCTAGTCCAGATTCTTTAAGCACTCCTCAGTCTTTGAACCTTTTAACCTAGGAAGTGTGTTGAACAGTTAAGTTTGGGCAATGTTGCCTCCCCCTCTCCAGTAAAATAGTCACATTTGATACTAGTACCTTAAAGGATTTGAGAAGTTCTTTGGTAAAGCAACTTATTTTGTTTGCCTAGCAATTCCTACAAGGGTTTTCTCTCTCCCCTTCCCCTTTTATTTTTAACAGCACACGGTACCTTCCCGAATCCATGTGTGACTCTGAGATCACTCTTTTGCAGGGTAGACAGCGTGAAGCAGTGGAATCCACGCTAGACAATCGAAAGACCTAGTCAGAAGTAGCTCTTCCTCTGTTGCTAGCATGTCACATGGCCCTTGGCGAGGCACATCCCTTCTTTGGTCCTCGGTGTCACCATTATAACACGTTGTACTCGTTAAGCCACCATTGGGGTGTCTGTCACTCTCAGTGTTCTCTAACTCCGTTGATACATAAGGTATCAACCAACCAGATAGCTTTTGTGACTTTTTCTGGCTGATTTGAGTAAAGTGAACAGATTTCGAGGTGGAGCTATAACTTTTTATAATTTTTTCCTTATAATGGTAGACAAGTTCAGAAAGCATCATTCATTCATTAAAAAAATATTTAACTGAACACCTATTTTGTACCAGGCTCTGTACTGGGGATTTAGTAGTCCGCACGGTAGCACAGAACGATGGGTTAATGCCTAATCTGAGCTGATCCCGAAGGAGGATGTATCTCGAATCGTGGAGATCTGCTTTCTCTTTAATTACTACCTTCTCCCTGCCTCTCAGACCCTCACTCGCACTTCTGACTACAGGAGACTACTAGCTTACCATCTGTTGGAACTGAATTCCAGGCCCTCTCTTCAGTTGACTACTGTACAGTGACTTGTCATAGGAGCTTTGATGCCAGAACTTAAGTTTAAATACGAAGTTCTGGAGCCATTTTGAACAGATCTGGACTGAACAGATCAAGGTCAAACTGCAGGCATTTATATTTCCGACCTATGAGAGTTGACTAATGTATTTCACAGATAGGGAGGGACCGCACTTACCAAAGTTAACACTCTGTATTAAAATTAAGTGGGGTTAAAGCAAGATCCCATTGTGCTTTAAGGCTTTTTTTTGGAGAGGTTTTTTTTTTTTTTTTTTTTCGCTATAGGGCGCGTGCGCTCGCCAGACAGACAGAGAGAGACATAGAGACAGAAAGCGAGAAATCACCCCCCAGGGGGGATGGTCACGCCGCAATCCCTTCTCCTCCATTCTCCTCTCGGGATCTTGGGCACGCACGCACACGTGCCTGGCGTGAGATTTAAGCCACCGGGTCCGAGACGCGAACCGCGGTCGACTACGTGGGAGTCCAGCGACATAGCCATTACGCTAACTGCTGGTTCCCGCTTTAAGGCTTTTTATAATGGACATCGTTTGCCGTTGTCACTTGTTTTTTCTGACTTACTGACAGCTGGTCATCTTGGTTCCAGGTTTTACTTTTGTAGAACTGAATATTGGTTATACTTTTTCAGGATTTGGGCCTGGCTACATCGAGAGGTCGGGGAAAGTGCAAGAATCCCTCTTGTAGTTATGTCTATACCAACCGGCACAAACCTCGGATTTGCCCCAGCTGTGGTTTCAACCTTTCCAAAGACCGGACCGAGAAAACCACCAAGGCTGTCGTGAGTTCCTTCCCCAAACTCATCACCTGCCTGGACTGGCTCTGCCAGTAAACCTGTCTTAGTAAAAGTAAAAGGATTTTAATATGCAGTATTGGAGAATGGGAGTGGAACTGGGTAGTAGGTTCTGAACCACACCAAGCACCTTCTCTGGACCTCCTTGTCCTTGTTGTCAAAGTGAATGGGTTGACTAGTTTCCTAGATTTCTAAAAACCAGGGACAGTGGCAGTGCAGGCCTTAAGTAGGATTGAGAAGGAAGGCCTGGACATGTTGCATCTTCTTAGCTGCAATGACTGGTGCAGGATTTGTAAGTTGTCTTACTGTATAAATGGTCAGAGAATGTCCACTCCAAGACTGTGGATTAGATTGCTCCTTCTCAGGTTCCCTGAAGAGCTTTTGTTTAATCACAAACTTCACTCCTAACAGTCTTGGCAAACCTGCTTTCTGAAGTGGGACCTGATTCTAATTACTTGGATAGTAAAATTTATTTCACTTTGCTTCTTAGGGTTCTTTTTTTACTTCTAACTGGGAAAATGGACATTTTCAGAGGTCCTCAATTTCTACACATGGAGGTTTTTTAGTTTTATATTTGCTGTTTTATTTCCTGTAGGGTATATGTACTCACCAGAGAGAGGGGGCGAGTGGAGGGCAGTGAGGAACCATCCTCCAGGAGGTTGAGCAGCAGTCTCTGTTTTTTTATTTTTCTGTTTTTTGTTTGTTTGTTTGTTTTTTAAGAGAGATTTTTGCTATAGAGCACGTGCTCATGCCAGGGAGACAGAAAGCAAGAAATCACTCTTGCCAAGGGGGATGGCCAAACCACAATTCCTTCTCCATTCTCCTCTCTGGATCTTGGGCACACACGCACATGTGCCCCACATGAGTTTTAAGCCGTTGGGTCCAGAACTCAAACCGTGGTCGACTATGTGGGAGTCCAGTGACAACCATTATACCATCTGTTGGTCCCAGACAATCTCTTATCCTCCACTTTCCTCTTAGGATTTTGAGCATACATGCACATGCACTTGGTGCGTTTTTCAAGCCGTCTGGTCCAGAACTAGAACCTCACAGTTGGCCATATGGGATTCAGCCGCCTTGACCACCATGCCACCTGGCTGGCCCTTCACGTGACTTTTTTAGTTTTTGTGTGTGTTTTTTGTTTTGTTTTTTTCGCCATAGGGCATGTGCACTTGTAAAGACAGACGGAGGGACCAGCAGTTGGCATAATGGATATGTGGCTGGACTCCCACGTGGCCCACTACGGTTTGAGTCCTGGACCTGGCGACTTGAAACTCATGCTGGGTGCATGTGCATCCATGCCCAAGATCACAGGAGGAAAATGGAAGACATGAGATTGTAGTGTGGCCATATCTCCAGAGGGGGGGAGGATTTCTCACTTTCTATCTCTGTCTCTCTGGTGAATGCATGCACCCTATAGCAAAAATCACTCTTTAAAAAAATGAATAACACAGAGATAGAGAGGGAAAGTGAGAAATCACCCCCCAGGGGAATAGCCACACTGCAGTCCCTTCTTCTCTATTCTCTTCTTGGGATTTTGGGCCCTTGTGCACACGTGCCTGGTGTCATTTTCAAGCCACCAGGTCCAGGACTCAAACTGTGGTCAGCCATGATGAGGGAATCCAGTGTCTTAATCACCACATCACCTGCTGGCCCCCACGTATTACTTTTATAAGTGAATGGAAAGTGACAGCACTTGAGGCAGCTAATGAAATGACCTAGAACAAGGATAAGAGGGACATTGTTGGTCTGTTTTGGGTGGGGGGAGGGGATGGCACACAGAACACAAGTTCTGTGTGGCCTGAGAACAGTTGAGGCTATATCATAGAAGGTCTCGAATATCAGTGACAATTTGTGGTTTTTAATTTTGTCAGAGACTGTGCACTTGCTAGAGTGTATGCTTACCAGAGAGGGTAGGAGAAAGCATTCTCCATGGGACATGGTCATGCTGCAGTCCCTCCTCCATCTCTTCACCCCGTTGGGATATGGGGCACATGTGCACAGCACCTGGTGTGTTTCGTTAGCCACCAGATCTGGGGCTCCAACCTCAGGGCCAGCTGGGACCCAGCTGCCTTAACCAGGGCACAATTTGCTCCTTAGGCAGTGGAGTCCCACTTGATGTCCTTGAGCACGGAGGCCTAGATGAAGGGTAGGCTGTTTCAGGAGGGAGACACTGGGCTTGAGAGGGGACAGGACTGAAGAGATGGAGAGAGCGCCTGCAGGCATGATTACTTTGGATAAAGAGGCCTTTCTGGCAATGTATCTCACTTTACTTTCCAGTCTAAGGTTATAGTTTTTGAGAAAAAGAGAAGTGGAATTACAGTATATGGGCACTAATGGCCAAGTAGAAATAGCTCTGGGACCGGGAATTGGGAGAACGGGCTGGGAATGACCCTGAATTGGAAACTTTAGTTTTTCTCCCCATTAAATAAGGTGGGGTAGATGGATTATATCAAGGAGCCCTAGAGACGCCTCAGAATTGGGCTTTAAGGAGTCAGTAAACCCCTGAAATTCCATGCAAAACAAGTCTGTAGCTTCTGTCAGATTCTCTAGCAGATGCCCTCTGCAGGGAGGGAACTTTGCTCCTGGCTTTCGACGGCCACACCCGGTGCTGACTGTACGGCAGGGGGATCTGTTTCCCCACCGCCTCCCCCTGCAGTGTGCATACACGGTGTGTCCACGTCTCTAGTTACGGGCCGAGTGGAGTGCTGTGTGGGTAGAGGCTCTGATTATTCCTTTCTCCTTCCTTTCCAGTTTAGCTCTGTGTGGCGTGCAACATGGAAATAGGTGTTACTTAGGATGATAAAGTGACTTCACTTTTCAGGTTAGGCAGGAACTGTCTAGAGACCTCTTGCTATTTGACTTCAAATCCCACTCTCATTATGGCCCTTTGTCTTTGATTAACTGATAACTGCCCACCTCCAGGACCCACAAATTCAGACCCACCCTCATTACCAGACATTCCCTCACCCTCCAGTCTTCTAAGGCTTGGAGAATGAAATGTAATTATTGTTTTCCACGAAATGAAGCAGTGGTCAGACCCAGGGGCCTTTGTATGCATTATCCTTTGGAGCCCCCTGGTGGCCATACAGTTCCTATGAGGTTTGTCTTCTGCTGTTGTAATTAAGACTAACATTTCTGGGCTTGCGTGGTCTTCAGTCCTTTCCATCCTTCACGTCTGGCTCAGAACCAAAGAATAGCCAAGTTGCCGTCCAGCTCATGGTTCAACGTAGTCGTGGCTGGGAGTGCACAGCTTCTCAGGGCAACTCCTTCTATTTTCAGTCATCCCTTTTGCAGCTATTAATGAATTCATTCTTCCAGCTGGGGGTTTGAATGCCTCCTGTGGCCCAAGCCTTCAGCAATGACTAAGATCTTCCTTGAGAGCTTAGTCTAGAAAGGAAGAAAGACAGGTATCCAGACTACTAACAGGCAGAAAGAAGTATTCATAGGTACACAGGGTTAATAAGTTCCTTCTTGTTATCAGGCAAGTGCAAGTTTCTGGTGTACAAAGCAATGTATAACATGTCTAGCAAATGTGACTCAGCATCTTGTGTCCCAGGCCTCCTGCTGGCATTGGGAATCAGTAAATAAGCAGGGACCCTGTCCTCACTGAAGGAGGGGACAGTGATTCAGCAACTATGGGATGATGAATTCTGCAATAATGGAATCACTCAGGGAGCACAGAGGAGGGAGTGAGTCACATAGTGCATTGGCAGAAAGGATCAGGGAGACTCCTTTGAAAAGAGATCTGCTGAATAGGCCTGCCTAAAAGGACCTGTTTTTAATAAGTATTTCAGAACCTCGTTCCTTTAAGCCCCTGTTGTATTTCCTTGTATCTGTAGCCATGAAGAATGAAAGACAGACACTAAGTAGTGGGAATACTTGTTGAATGTTTGTTTATCAAAACTATCGTTTATAGCATCTTCATTGCAGGCAGACAGTGCTGAGTGCTCTACTTGCAACATTTCACTTGATCTGTACAGAAGCTCTAGGAGCTAACTAGTTTGTTTTGTTTTGTTTAAGAGACAGGGTCTTGCTGTGTTGCCCAGGCTGGCCTCAAATTTGAGAACTTCCTGCCTCAGCCTCTCCATTATCTGCAATCACAGGCGTGTTCCACCACGTCCTGCTAGATTACCAGTGTTTTTATTTCCCTCTCAATAGATGAGGAAGGGCTCAGAAATATTTAGTAAATTGCTTCAGGTTCCACATGGGTAGCTGTTCAGTGGTATACCCAGAACTGAAACCCAGGCCTGTTCTACTCCAAATTCCATAGCTGCTAAATGGGAGCTAACTGAAGAGGAGTGTAGGACATACTGCTATTTTACTGATGGAGAAACTGAGCCCCAGAGATAGAGAGTACCCGCCTACAGGCCCATCGTGACTTCCGAGCTGGTCAGCACGAGGTCCTAGGTGTACATCCTCTCAGTCACGAGCCCATGCCTGATCACTCGCAGACTTGCATTGTGTTACCCATTATCTGCCCGAGGCTGGCTCTTTCTATCCTGGGTGCTTAGTGATCAGTCCACTCTCTTCCCAGGAAGCGAGCTCACCACTCACAGATGTGCTGAGCGCCACAGAGCCCCTGAGTGCGGCCCAGAGGGAGGTCCAGCGCCAGTCCACGCTGCAGCTGCTGCGCAAAGTCCTGCAGATTCCTGAGAATGAGTCAGAGCTGGCCGAGGTCTTTGCCTTGATTCATGAACTCAACAGCTCTCGACTTATCCTGTCCAATGTGAGTGAGGAGACAGTCACCATCGAGCAGACCTCCTGGTCGAATTATTACGAGTCTCCGTCCACGCAGTGCCTTCTCTGTAGCAGCCCATTATTCAAAGGGGGACAAAAGTAAGCACCCTTTCTTCTGCCCCCATGCCTCACCTCCTTGGCTCATGGTGCCCCTTTGTTCAGGCTAAAACCCGTGGTGATGTCATTCTCTGATCTTCTTAGGCTCCTTTACTGTTCCAGCTGCTAACACTGGATAATTAGTAATGATTATTTCTATTGAGAGATGCCCAGAAGTTAGTATCCTCAGTTTAGAATTTCATTACATATGGACTGCCCAGCTTAGTGGTTGGGCTTGGGCATTCAGTGGGGTTGGCTATGTTGTGTAATCAGTGGAGAGCAATGTGACTTCACACGAGGCTCCAGAGGCTCGATTCTAATAAGTGGAAATGCCCACCTGGAAACCTTAGAGCCCGGGCTCCGATACCTTTACTTGCCCATCGTGTTAGAGTCTTGAGGATTTGCCCTTGATCAATGAGCCCTGGGGCTACATAAAGAGCTTGCTTTCTTTTTTATTTTGTATTGATGATATTTTTGGTACTAGCTCCCTGGCTGGGCCCCAGGAATGCTGGCTACTGACAGCCAACCGGCTGCAGGTGGTGACTGCCCAGGTGAAGATGTGTCTGAATCCCCATTGTCTGGCCCTGCACAGCTTCATGGACATCTACACAGGTAGGTACCGACCTTCTCTTCCCTCAGAGCACCGCATAACAGGCTGGATGGAGAACTATCCCTGTGGGTCAGACCTCTGGTCCTTTGAGCATTGGAGCTTTTCCCACTCAGATGGAGCTTCAGAGAAAGAGGGAATCATCTTCCTGAATGTCCCAGCCCCAGGAGACGACACTTACAGGCATTAGGACCTTTATCCAGTATCTTTAAAACAAAGTTAATTTTTAAAATGACAGATCTTCATTGTGGAAAAGCTAAAAAAATGCAGACAAGTATAAAGAAGAGACTAAAAATCAGTAGTAATCCTATAGCCATGAGATAGACGCTTAATAGGGTACTCTCTAATCTTCTAGATGTGTTTATTCATCTGTGTGGAATTTGAAATTTATAGGTATACAGTTCTTTGAACAAAGTGGGATCTTCACAATCCTGTAAGAGTGTTAGTTTAAGAATGTGCTTAGTCTATAAATTCCGTGAGGGAATTTGATATGCTTAAATATGCTAAATCTTCCAGTCCATAAACATGGCCTTTCTCTCTCTCTTTTTTTTTAAGAGAGATTTTTGCTGTAGTGCATGCGCACTTGCTAGAGAGACAGGGAGAAAGAGAGAGAATGCAAGAAATCACCCCCTACGGGGGATGGGCATACTATAATCCCTTTTCTTCCATTCTCTTCTTGGGATATTGGGCATGCACACGCACACACGCACTGTACCCAGTGTGAGTTTCAAGCTGCCTCACAGTGCACTACCATCTGCCTCAGCTCTAGGAGATTTGAGCAGGTTAGTGTTACAGTTACAACCTGCCTAATGGCTTTTCAGTCATGCAGACTCATGCGCAATAGTGGCCTGGTAGGTTCCACTGTCTAGGCAAGGTATATAGTAGGCGGTACCACCTCGGTTTTTCTAAGTGTATTCTGATGTTTCCATAGTGACAAATCACCCAGCAAGACCTACCTCAGAGCATATGTATTTATTTATTTGAGAGAGAGTTTGCTGTAGGGCACATACACTCACCAGAGACAGCAAGTGAGAAATCATCCCACCCTGGGGGGAGGGGTGTTTGACCATGCCACAATTTCTTCTGCTCCATCCTCCTTTTGGGATTATTTCTGTGAAGAGTATTTTTATGATCATTTGCAGTTTCCTCCAAATTCCTCTGTTAGTGAATTTCTTTTGTGAGGATTTCTTTGGGTTGTTTGGTCGATGGCATTTTCTCCTAGTTTATCAGTAGGAGCTTGAACTCGTATGTGGCGATTTGGAGAACACCAAGGTTTCTTTGCTTTTTGTTTGTTTTCATATTTGTGCAGCCAGAGCTTTGACCTTCTCCCTTGTGGTTCCAGCCTTTACTGTCAGGTTTAGGAAGGATGGCCTCGCTCCTCTATGCCTTTCTTTACTGGGAGCACATTCCAGAATTTGCTTTTGTGCAGATTTCTCATTATGTTTTGTGCAAACGTAAAATCACCCTGTTTTATTTGTCCTAAACTGACTGCACTTAAATTCCGCTGATTCTCATACTCCAGGGTCAGTTTCGGGGCCATTCTGTAGCCTGCGTTGCATCCCCCATGCGTCCCTGGACTGAAGGGCGCTCTGGCCTTCTCCTGTTACGTGAGGTGTAGAGGGAGAGTGACACCTTCGGTCCTAAGGACTGAGCTGGGCTGTGGGAAGTTGTTTTTTGTTTGTATGTATGTATTTGTTTATTTTTGTTGCTATAGGGTGTGTGTGCTTGCCAGAGAGAGAGAAAGCAAAAAATTACCCCTAGGGGCATGACAGTGCCTTAATCCCCTCTCCATTCTGCTCTTGGGGTTTTGGGCACACATGCACATACACCCAGTGTGTTTATTAAGCCCCCAGGTCTGGGACGGAACCGTGCCGTTAGCTGTGTGGAATCCAGCCACCTTTACCTCCCTGCCACCTCCTGGCCCTTGAAATGTTTCTTTTTCTATTGGAAAAGAAAAATGCGTTATACTGTACACATTATTTCACTACTTACTTTTTTCATTTAACAGTGTATTATGAACATCTTTGTGTTGGAGCAGTTAAATCTACTTTATTCTTTTTTTTTTTTTTTTTTTTTTTTGGAGAAGTTTTTTTCGCTGTAAGGTGCATGCGCTCGCCAGACAGACAGAGAGAGACATAGAGACAGAAAGTGAGAGGGTCACGCCGCAATCCCTTCTCCTCCATTCTCCTCTCGTGATCTTGGGCACACACGCACACGTGCCCGGCGTGAGTTTTAAGCCACCAGGTCTGGGACGTGAACTACGGTCGACTATGTGGGAGTCCAGTGACATAGCCATTATGCTAACTGCTGGTCTCAAATCTACTTTATTCTTTTTAATGAAGCATACTTTTAACCCTCCCCTTATTGGTGGGCATTTAGTTTGTTTCTTTTGCCATTATATGTAAGATAATATTAGTGAATGTCTTTGTTGCCTTTTTTAACCTACAGGTCTCTTTAATGTGGGGAACAAGCTGCTAGTAAGCCTGGATTTGCTTTTTGCAATCCGCAACCAGATCAAGCTGGGAGAGGACCCCAGAGTGTCTGTCAGTGCTGTTTTGAAGTCAGTGCGGGAGCAGACAGGTAAAAGTTGTCTTCCTCCCTTCTGCACGGTCAGTCCTAAGCTTCCTGGGAATGCTCAGTGATGGGCTCTGGTTGGAACAGTCATCTCGAAGAGTCTGGTATTTTAATACAGAGATATTCTTGACTTTTTAATGTGCTCTTCCTTTTGAATATTACAAATGCCAAGCTAACTTTAAAAAGCATCAGTCTTTCCATGTATCCAGGGACCCCAGCAGGGGACTGTAGGTGACTTTTAGAGGCACGTCCTTTGGTCATAGCCGTCTTGGCCTCAGGTTAGTGAGACTCCTTCAGAATAAGACAGCTCCTGGACACATGGAGCCCTAAGGCCCAAGGCTAATGCTAAGATTTGAGTGTGGGACCACCCTCCTTGCTAGCTAGAAATTATTTTTCACCTTGTTCTCCTTCCTTCTGTTTGGGCTCTTCCTATCCCATTCCTACAGGCTCCACTCCCCCCACACCTTGCCTGCTGTGAGGACGGACAGAGTAAAGCAAAGGGGCAGAACCACACAGGCCTGTGTTAGAGTCTTGGCTCTGCCACTTGACTGTGTGATTTTTATTCTCTTGTTTCTGTGCCTGTTGTAAAATCAAGATAGTACTAGCTCCTGGTTCATAGAGAATTTAAATTCATGTGAAAAAGAAATGAGAAACCATATTCAGAGCTCTCCAGAGCATCTCATAGCTAGCAGGTGCTTAATACAGGCAGCTCTCCCTCTGACTGGAACTGCCCTTTGGGTTGCCCCTGAGCACGTGAAGGCCTGGCGGCCTGACCCTCGGGACAGTTAGTACACTAGGGTGCTTTTAGGAGACAGTCAGTCTTGTAGCGTTGCTGTCCTTGCACGAGCTGATCCCCAGTGCCTCGGGGCTCTTTTCTGGGACCCTCTCAGAGCTCTTGCTTGCCTTCCAGAGAAGACTCTGGCCCCGGAGGAGCTGCGCCAGCTGCAGGAGCTGCTGTGCAATGGCTACTGGGCTTTCGAGTGCCTCACTGTCCGAGACTACAACGACATGATCTGCGGCATCTGCGGCGTGGCCCCCAAAGTGGAACTGGCGCAGAGGAGTGAAGAGAACGTGCTGGCGCTGAAGAGCGTGGAGGTGAGTGCCTCTCAGCCGTCGTAGGTGACTTCAGAACCGTCCTCTTGTGTCGGCAGCCTGCATCTTGGCTGGTATCCCCAGGGGCAGATGGCTCCAGGCCTGTCTGGGCAAGGGGAGTGGCTTTTTCCTGCCACAGCCCAGGATGTCATCTAAAGAAACCAGATGGAAACAGCATTTGCTTATTCAGTTACTTATTCAGCAGATGTGTTGAGTGTGAACTTTTGGGTCTTTGGAAAAGTCATGAAGCATTTTGGCATAGAAAAACAGAAAAATAGGTCATGACTTTTCAGATGACCTAATAGGTGTCCTTTTTGGACAGTTGGAGATAGTAAAAAACTAAGTTTCTGTCATCATGGAGCTCAAGCTCTGGTTTATAGGAGACAGACAGGAGACAAATGCAGGCCAGTTGGTGCTGAGTGCTGTGAAGACAGAAGTGGGGTGAAGGGAAGCGGGCACTGTGGTGAGAAGGCATTGCTGTTCCGTAGAGGGTAGCAGGGAAGGCCTCTGATTCCGTGGCATTGCACTGAGCTAGTAGAGTGTGGTGCAGTGTACTAGTAGTTAGTTGCACTGCAGTGCAAGGTCTCTGGTCTGAATGCTGCCGTAATGAATGAGAGAATGAGGGTCGGAATTGACTCTGGCTCAAGACCTGCATCTCACACGTTCACCACCGGGGCAGGTGTGGAACCTTCTGGGGCCTCTTAAGAATGTTCCTGTTGCTAAAATGACTGTATAAAAATTTCTGTGGGTCAGTCAGTGGCGTGGTGGTTGAGGCAGCTGGATCCCACTTAGCTGACAGCATGGTTCAAGTTACAATGTGGTGGCTTGAAAGACATAACTGGGCTCATGCACCCAGAATCCTAAATGAAGAGACAGAAGGGATTATGATGTGACCGTTGCCCCATGGAGGATGCTTTCTCACTTCCTCCCACTCTCTCCTCAGCAAGCACATGCACCCTGTAGCAAATCACGAGCAAATTTGCTTGTGTGACCCATTGCTTTTGTGCCATAACACACCAAGAGGCTGTCTCCAGACTTTTCAGATCTGCTTGCCTGGTGGTAACACTCGTAATGATACAAATGTGATTTATTGAGCACTCTCTTACCTATGCCAAGTTCTTTCTGTGTTAAGTGCTTTACTGGATGACTTAATTCTCACCACAGCCCTCTGGTGTTTTCATGAGATACCAGGAAGTGAAGCTCTGTGAGGTGGGGGTGGGCGGAGCTGCTCAAGCCCACCCAGGCAGGCAGGGGTGGGCAGAGATTCGATCTTGCTGATCTGAGTTCTGAGTCTGTGCTCCCAAGCATTGCTTTGTTCACCTCTGTCCTGGGACCCAGAGCTCTAGTTCTCCTGATCACACTTGTCCACAGCAAATTTTTGGCTTCCAGAATAGACAGAAGCCCGCCTTCCTGCAAAGGTCAGCTCGAGTTCTGCCTGGCCCCCTGCCCTGGTCCCAGTCAAGGCCCCTCTATCGCAGGAATGAGCCGCATTGCCTTCACTGTCAGTTCACAGGTCTCTTCCTTCCGTCGGTACCAGGTCTTCTTTCCCAGAGACCAGGGCTTTATTTACTGTGCTTTTTGTGCATGGAGGGTGGTGTGGAGAATGTGCAGAGAGAGAGGCTGTCCTGAGGTCTGTGAACACAGAAAGTTACTGAACAAAACTGGAATGTGTAGTGCCCCTGGGGAGACTGCCGGCCTCTCCCTTGGGGACGAGGGCCCTTTGACTCATGACGGTAGCCAAGCCAGTAGCCCAGTCAGTTCGTATTCTCAGTTGGTCTTTCCTGTCCCCTTGCTCCTTGTGGGAAGAATGGGCTTAGTTGGCCCCGTCCCCCAGCCAGGTGTGAAATGCTGAGGACCTTGGCAGATGGGTGGGACTTCACTGAGCAGAATTCTGACTTTTTTTTTTTTTTTTTTGGAGAGAATTTATATATCAAAGGACTGCATTTTAACGTGATAGAGACCCACTATCACAAGCCCATAGCCAAATGCCATGTCGTCCTCTGACTTTTTTTTTTTTTTTTTGGAGAGGTTTTTGCTATAGGGCGCCTGTGCTCACCAGACAGACAGAGAGAGACATAGAGACAGAAAGCGAGAAATCACCCCCCAGGGGGGATGGTCATGCCACAATCCCTTCTCCATTCTCCTCTCGGGATCTTGGGCACGCACGCACACACGCCCAGAATTCTGACAATTCTTGCTGGCCAGGCATAGGAGTAAAGGGCTTGAACTTTAGTTCTAGACCCACATTTGCATCGTTCTTATTCTACTTGTCTCACCCCAGACACCCCCAGAGTTGTTCATGAGAAAGTGTCTGGCACGTGACAGCTCCTCAGATGGTAACTGTCCTCTTTTTTTGCGAGACAGGGAGAAGGACCTGACTCTAGGTGTAGAAGGGAAAGGACTTAGAGACTACATAGATCTGGGAGAGTGCTGTTGTGCGGGAGGAAGAAATGTGGCCAAAGGGCGGTTGGCCAGTAAGGTGTGGAATTCAGGGCGCCCAGGCTGTGAGAGTCCTTCCTTCAGCTGGACGTTGGTTTCCCCGTGTGTGAAATGAAGGGGTAAAGGCTGCGGTGGTGCAGTATTCTGTGCTCATAGCTTCACCTTTTCTATCCCAACTTTTTAGTTCACTTGGCCTGAATTCTTAGGCTCTAGTGAAGTAAACGTGGAGGACTTCTGGGCCACAATGGAGACCGAGGTGATTGAGCAGGTGGCATTCCCTGCCAGCATTCCGATCACCAAATTTGACGCCTCTGTTATCGCCCCCTTCTTCCCACCACTCATGAGAGGAGCCGTGGTCGTCAACACTGAGAAAGACAAAAGCCTGGATGTGCGGCCAGCACCTGGTAAGGCCCCCGCTGGGTGACGGGCTGGGGAGGGCTCAGACAAGTGTGAGATAGTTGTCCTCACACGACAGCAGCGGTAGAGAGGGCAAGGCGCACCTAGAGGACCCTTCTGGAAAGATGATGACAACTTGTGACAGAAATCCCCTGGAGGTTACAGTCATGGAGCAGAGAGAGAGATAGTGTGTGTATGTGTTTATTTCATGTTGATTGTTGTTACATTTTTGTTTTTTTTATCAACAAGAGATAGGTATTTTCAGTAGGGTCTTACCAAGCCTCAGTCCTGCTATCCTAGTAGCTGGGATTGCAGGCATGCACTGGCCGTGACTGGTGCGTTCAGACTGTCCTGGGAACAAACCCCGGCCTTCCACTATCTCCAGCTTTGTGCGGCAGCACCTGACCTCCTGCACTGCCGCGGCGAGGCTGGTGTCGAGTTTGAAGAGCTGCCAGCCGTATCGTATACGACAGACCCACAGCTCACTGCCAGCTCTGGCCTGCACACACAGAGCAGTGGGAATCCTGTAAAAATGCTGATGATTAGGCTCCAACCCTAGTGACTTCACTGAGAAGGTACGGGGGAGGCCAAGGACTCTGCCTTCACAGCAGGTCTTGGTGATGGTTTTGCAGATTGTGAACTGGCTGCTGGCCATCTCCCAGCTCTGCACCAGCTGTTAAGAGCATAGGTTTCTCGGGACCAGCAGATAGTGTAATGGCTATGTCGCTGGACTCCCATGTAGTCAACCGTGGTTCGAGTCCCGCACCCAGTAGCTTAAACTCACGCCGGGCACGTGTGCGGGCGTGCCCAAGATCCCAAGAGGAGAATGGAGGAGAAGGGATTGCGGTGTGGCCATCCCCCCGGGGGGTGATTTCTCACTTTCTGTCTCTCTGTCTTTCTGTCTTTATGTCTTTCTGGTGAGCCCACGCACCCTGTAGCAAAAACCTCTCAAAAAAATAAAAAGAAGAAGAGCATATGTTTCTGATACCTGGGACTTGGTTCCCATCTCTGCTGCTATTAGTCCTGTGACCTCTGGCAAACCCCTTTATTGGCCTGAACCCCTGTTGCCTCATCTGCAAAGTGGGCACGATAGTGGTAACCTGCCTCCTAGGTGTGGGAATGACACAAGCTCACATCGTTACTGATAGTCTTTTACTTTTTTATTAGCTGTACTCACAGTAAAGACATACCTCACAGATCGGTACCTTTCCTTACCAAGCAAAGTCCACTTGGTTTTCCGCTTGTTTCATTCTGATAATCCTGGATGTGGCCTTCCACATTGATTCCACAACTCCTGATGTACACAGATTCTCCAATGGTGCTTCCCCAGCTTAGATACTGAGGTCCTGCCTGTGTTTGCTCCTTGAAGGACTGCCTTTTCTCCCCACTATGAGGCACCCACATAGTTACCCTGATTAGCCAGGTTTAGGAGCCTGGTGTGTAGAGAGCATTTCAAAAATGAGAACTGCTGCTGCTACTCATTTTGCTATGGTTGCACCTGAGATCTTGGTTCTGAGAAGCCTTAGAAGATAGGGTTAAAAGCTGACTCATTCTAGGGTTCTTTGCAGAGGCCCCCTGCTGGGTCACTCATTGAGACATTCTAGGGCAGAAAGCCAGTACAGAGAGAATTCAGATGTCTGCAGAAGTCCTCATCCTGCCTTGAATCTCACTTGTCCCATTACCCAGGGGATGCTCAGTGTAGAACTGGCTTCCACTGCTCGCTGTAGGCCTAGCCCCCCGTCCCCATCACCCTGACCTGTGCTGGCTGGCGGCAGCACCCCCTCAGCGTGGTCATTTCTGCAGGCAATGGCAGTGCACTGGTGAGGCTGCTCCATGAGGGCACCTGCAGGCTCGAGGACATCAGCTCCTATAGTGAGGAGGAGCTGCAGCAGCTGCTGCGGGAGTGTGACATCCCCTTCGTGGCAGGAGACTCCAAGGTGAGTGTCCCAGTACAGCGGCGTAGAGAGCAGGGCTTTGGGGGCAGACTGGGTGGTCCACTCTCCTGGGCAAGGAGGTGAGTGCCCGTGATTGGGCATGTGTGATTACGTCCTCTGCCGTGGACGTAACCTCTGTTATGGTGCCAGTAGGTGGGGAGGCCTTGGCCTCCACGTGGTTCCTTCTGTTGAAGGCGGTGGGCCTAGATTCTGGGATTGAGAATCCTGGCCCATCTCCTTACTGTGCGTGGCCTGGGGTAAGTTCCCATGCGTTTTAAGCTTCATTTTCCTCATATGTAAAATGGAAATAACCAAAACACCAACCACCTGAACTTGTGAGGAATATGCATTACATCGGATCTTCACCCATCCAGGCTCTGAGACATGCCGCTTTCGCACACACAGAGTTGGTGTGTGGGCGCGTGCTTTGCCCATATGTTGTTTCCGTGCTGTCAGAAACGAAGTTTCAGGTTCAGATTCAAATGTTCACTCCCCTTTGAAGGTTTCTCTGCCCAGTAAGAAAACATAGAGGAACCCAGGCTTACGGGTCTGTCAGCTTGGCCAGTCTGGCTGGCTGTGTCCGTGACCTGATTCCCTCCAGGCCTATGGATACCCACTTGGACCCAGATGAGCTTGGGGTGGGAGGTTCCAAGGTCCACCCTGGCCTTGGCGGCTTGTCCTTCTGCTCGGGGCATGGGAGTGAGCGCTTGATGCCGAGCACCAGGCCTGGGCCCTTAGCGGTCACCCTCGGGTTTAATCTCGTCCTTCCGCTCCAGGACCAGCTGTGCTTCTCTTTACTGGCTCTCTACGAATCTGTACAGAATGGAGCCCGAGCTAGGCAGCCCCCACCTCATCTCACAGGGGGTAAGATCTACAAGGTGTGCCCCCATCAGGTAAGACGAGAACGGGCAGCCAGGGTGATGTGCTAATGTTGAACGGCCCACACCGGGTCTGGGTGACCCCGCTCAGCCTTTCAGCGCTGGGCCTGTGGAGTCGCTGCCCCTGAGTCAGGTGCCACCCTTAGGGGTAGAGAGGCACCTGGGTCATTTAATTACGGACCTCACCGCATGCTGGGCACTGCGTCGGCTGTTGAGGGGAAAGGGTGAGCAACAAAGATGTCATTCTTCCCTGGTCAACCTCAGGACTTAGAGGTAAATAAAGTCACCAATTTGTGGTGATGGTTGTGAAGAACCAGACAAAGGCCTGAGATCACACAGTGACATACTGTCTAGGCAGCACCAGAGAAAGCTGAGACCTTAAGGCCAGGGAGCAGCCTTGGTGATGAGCCAGCAAAGGTGTGTCTGCAGAGTGACTGCTGAGGCCCCACTGGAGAAGCAGAGTGAGCTGAGAGGGCCCCAGACACAGGTTGCGGGGCACTTCTGTGGGCCAGCGTAACAGTCAGGGTTGCATTCTGGGAAAGGAGGAACATTTCGGATGGTTCGCAGTGGGAAATAGGGGTGATGACATGGCCTGATTTTGGTTTTAGTACAGTCGGTCCATATGTCTAAGTTTATTCACTTATCCCTTCCATGAGAGAGACAGCAACGGGGCGGGAGAGGGCACGTGTGAACGAGACAGGACCTCCACCAGGGTCCTCATGCTCCTATCCGCTCCAGCCTCAGCCGGCCCAAGTCACAGTGTGTGTGCGTACCCGGAGTGCTGAGGGAGGTCCCGGAGCCTGAACTCAAGACCTTTTCTGTGTGATGCAGTGGAGTTGGTGCCGTGCCACTGCCTGGTCCCACACTCTGCATGCCTGGGGAAGGGTGTGTCCCAAATAGGGCAGGCACCGGGACTGCTCTGGGATGGGCTGCGTCCGAGATGGCGTGACCGGCCCAGGGAGACCCTGGAACAGAAAGCCCACTTCACCAGCTCTGAACGGGGGAGAGCTGGCTGAGCAGGCTGCCCATCCCTGTGGGTATGAGTCGTCAGGGCCACGTGGCTGTAACTGGAGAAGCAGGCCGTCAGCTGCTGTGACCACAGCTGCGTCTGGGCAGATCAGTGCCTGCCCATGCAACCAGGCTCATCCCCTGAGAAGCAGTAGCCACCACAGAGACCCAGGAGCTGCTGCTCGGGGGCTGTGCTGAGCAAGCAGAATCACCTGCAGGGGACGCCAGGTGCTTATGAAGGCAGGCCTCGCCTCCGTCCCCAGAGCTGTCCACGGACTGTGCTCAGGAGCTGTTGTGGGAGGTGTCCACTAGACTGCACCAGGGGTTCCCATCTGGGTAGCACCTTGGGGTCCCAAAATACAGGTGCTCAGATCCCCCCCACAGACCCCTCATTCCTGAGGTTGGAGTGGGGCCGTGTTTAGCCAGCACTCAGCTGCAGGTGCTGTGTAGCTGGGATGGGGAACCACGAGATGCTGCTCGGCAAGGCGATGTGGAGGGAGTGGGGTTTAGCCATGTCCTAGGTGCCCGCCAGCCTCAGTGGAAGATGATGTCCCCAGGTCTGCCCTCAGAAGAGCAAGGACGAGTGGGCGTCAGTCCCGAGACTAGTGGTTCATCTTCCTGGGGAGGAGTGAGGGCGCCGCTCCATCCCCAGGTTGGCTGTTGACCCTCTGCTGTGCCCGCCATGCCTCCCCAGGTAGTCTGTGGCTCCAAGTACCTGGTGCGGGGCGAGAGTGCCCGTGACCATGTGGACCTGCTCGCCTCTTCCCGCCACTGGCCGCCTGTCTACGTGGTAGACATGGCCACACCAGTGGCCTTGTGCGCCGACCTCTGCTACCCGGAGCTGACCAGCCAGATGTGGGGGAGGAACCAGGGCTGTTTCTCCAGCCCCACAGAGCCGCCTGTGGTGAGTGCCCTCCTGAGGAGCTGGGATAGACCCCCAGGCGGACCCTGTCTGAACCCCTGGGGCCCATCTCTAGGCTCCGGAACCAGCATTTAGCCTGAGTGTTTTTACTGACCAACCCCGGTGTAGCCGCAGTGTGCCCAGGGTACCCCCGACACAGGTACTTCATGGTAAAAGAGGTCACCTTCTAGATGAGCCCGGGAAGTGGCCTCCTTTGTGCACACGGACATATTAAAGGCTCCAGCAGCCCCGGAGTCCGCTGTCTCGTGGACGATGTCTTAGACCGGCCCGTGAGCACACTGCATGGTGTGCTGGTTGAGGTCTAGAGGTACAGTGGTTTAGGAAACAAGCAGCTTACTCAACCCCTCTTTTATTAAAAGGGGAGATAAGGCCCAGAGGGGCATGTGGACTCGTCCAGGGTCACACAGCAGATGAGTGGCAGTACCCTTGTCTCTGCAAATTGGCCATGTTGTCCCAGGCAGCAGTTCTTACCAGAGGTGCACATCCTCCAGGGGCAGGCCTTGGCATTTGCTGGAGAGGCGTGGGGCTGATACCAGGAAAAGGGCAAGAGTAAGAAGGGAGGCCAGTGTTGGCCAGCCTGTGTTATGGGAAGCAGAGGCTTCGGCTTGCCTTGGAAGGGTCCTTGTCGTCACTCTGGGGGGCGTTCCTGAACCTGTGCTAGAGTCTCCAGAAAAGTATTTCAGCCATGGTCAGAGCCGGTTCTCCGGCCTGAACTGACTGGGCGAGTAACGATAGCAGCTCAGGCTAAGTCTGCTCTGGGGAGTGGTCGGTCACTGTCCCATTCTCATGGGAGGTGGTGTCATGGGCAGGGGAGACTTGGCCCAGGACGTATGGAAGGTGCTGCCACTGGGATTTGCACAGGACTGGCTGTCACCCACCTGCAGGTTCTGCCTCGGTCATTCCCACTCGCCCGACGGCTTCTCATTTCTCTTCCAGAGCGTGTCCTGCCCAGAGCTCTTAGACCAGCACTACACCGTGGACATGACAGAGGCCGAGCACTCTGTCCAGCACCCAGTCACCAAGACTGCCACAAGGCGCATCGTCCATGCAGGCACACAGCCTGGTACCGGCGACCCCAGCGCCGGGCACCACTCTTTAGCCCTGTGTCCTGAGCTGGCACCCTACGCAACCATCTTGTCTTCTATCGCGGACAGCAAACCAAACAGTGTCCGCCAGAGGCCCATTGCCTTTGACAATGCCACCCACTATTACCTCTACAACCGCCTCATGGACTTCCTCACCAGCCGGGAGATTGTCAACCGGCAGATCCACGACATCGTGCAGAGCTGCCAGCCTGGCGAGGTGGTCATCCGCGACACCCTCTACCGCCTTGGGGTTGCTCAGATCAAGACAGAGACAGAGGAGGAGGGTGATGACGAGGAGGCAGCCACGGTGGCAGAGTGAGCCAGGCTCTTGTCCAGGGATTGCACCATCTCTCTCAAGCCATAGTAAGGCCTTGCCCAAGGCAGAGCTGTCCAGGGGAGCGGTAGCAGCAGTCAGCTGTGGGCAGGGCGTCTGACTGCTGGGACTGACCAAAGAGCTTCCATTCCCTGAGCATGACGGGGCCCGGGGTCCTTGGTTCTCAACCCTCTAAGGGTCAGGAGAGATGCCAAGAAACCCCTCGCTGTCCCTGCGAGAGCACTTGGGGGACTTAGTGTCTGTCACGGAGGGCAGGGAGCCTGAGGGGAGGGCTGGTGGCTTCTCTGGGTCTGCTGCAGGGCAGGCCAGAGGTCCCAGGGTGGCTAAGGCAGGAGTCCCGGTACCGGGTGGCAGGGCTCCTGGGGCCTCTCTTCCTGCCTGGAGGGACCCTGGCTCCAGCCTCACAGCCACAAGGTTCCCTGAGCTTGTTGCCTTTGACCAGGCCCTTCAGTGGCCTTGTGAGCTCTGGGGTCCCTGTGGGCTCTTGACTCCCCAGAGGAGGGACAGTTGCCCCTGCTCTTCTGCCCCTGCCCTGTCGGGGGAAGAGGAGGAGCCACAGCACTTTTCCAGGACTGTTCTCCACCCTGAGCTTTGCAGAAGCGCCCTTCCTCCTTCCCCTGGTCACTGCTGCTGCACCCACATCCTCTGGGCCCTGGGACCCGCACCACAGGTGGGATGTGGCCCGTGGTCGTGACATCCCTGGCAGCAGTAGGAAAACTCCCTTCTGTGAAGGGGAAGCAGACCGGGCTGTAAGGAAACAGCGGGACTGGCTCAAGTGCCCCAGGTTTGCTTAGGGCCCGGGAATTGGCTGCGTGTTACTTAATTTATTGAGAGGAGTGGAGTAGGTGGCTTTCTCCTCCCTCTTCCCCTGACAGGAATAAACTTTATGGAATTATCTGGTTTGGTGAAGCAGGTCAATCTCTGCTCCTGGCATGGGGCACGGTACAGCCGTGCCAGAGGTGCTGCCATGTGCCTTCACGGGGAGGGGTATGAGGGCAGGGCCGTCCTGGGCGTGCCGGCGCCAGTGTGTGGCGCAGAGAAGCAGAGGCCGCTGTGTTAGAGCTGTTAGTTTAATGTTGACGAGACGTCCTGCGGCGTGACCGTTAGTCATCATGAGTCAGCTGGGGGAGCGTGTGCTTGCTGGTGTGGCCAGCCACACACCAGGGTCCCCGCCTTCCAGCCAGAATGACGGAAACCAGGCAGAACAGTCCTGACATAGCTGCCATTTGGCTCATAATAGCAGGACCAGACCGGGGTGGGGAGTTGAGACAAGACGACCTTGGGGGCAGAGGTGAGGGCCTCACAGAGGAGCCTTGCTCCAAGGGCTGGAGCTGAGAGCAGTCCGGGAGCTCCTCCTCCACTCAGGAGGTGATCCTGTCACTGCCTAGGAGCACCGTCTAGCCCCGGCACATTTGGCTTTCTCAGTATCAGGGCAGTTTGGGGGACCTCGTAGGCACAAAACCAGTCCATTTCCTTAGAGACACAAGAGGATCGGCAAAGGGGGTGCTTGGAAGTGGGAACAAGGTCGAGGGAGTGAGCTGAGGGGCTCTGCCAGTCGACATAGCAAACACGGGCCAACCCCATGAGGACAACGGGCGGACGGGGGGACGGGGCAGGCTCAGCCCAGCCCCATTACGGCAGTGATGGCCCAGACTTGGGGAGTGGGGTCCTCTGGCCTCCCTGGCTCCCTCACATTCCCATGTTTCAGAGCTGGGCCGAGCTGTTGAGTGAACCAACCACGGGCAGGTAGTGTGCTCCCCCGTGGAATGGAGACTGGAGGAGGGGAGAGGCCGTGCTCCGGCTCCGCCCCTTAGCAGAACTGGTAGTTGTTGGGCTGCAGCAGGGGCTGGGCGATGTCCCCTTGCTCACAGCAGGCCAGCTGCTCGCTAGAGCTCTCCTCCTCTGGCTCACTGCTGCTGCCGCCACCGCTGCTACTGCTGCTGGTCAGGTTGGCATAGTCCTGAGGGTGGTGGAGACAGGGACAGTCAGTCCTGCCCTGGCTGGCCCCCCACCCTGAGCCTAGCCCCACTCACCTGCTCTCTCCTGGCCGCTCGGTCCTGCTCCTGGAGGAGGGTGCAGATCTGCTGGAAGGTGGGTCTGTGAGTGGGCTCCAGGGCCCAGCAGGCCTGCATGATGCCATATCTGGAGACAGCACAGAGGTGGTCCATGTGCAGGTCCCCAAGGTCTGGGGACCATTACACACAGCTGCCTGCAAAGCCTGCTGAGTCCTGGCCCACGTCCCCTCATTCCATCCTCACCGTAACCCCAGGAGAGGAGCACTTCCACCCCCCCAGTATGGCAGGTGGGGTCATTTGCTGTCCTCAGGATCCCTGCAGTATCAGTCTGAGTATGGTGTCACCTCTAGTTAAGAATCTTTCAGATCATCCACCATGTTGCCTGGGAACTCAGTGGAAGCCCTGAGTCCACTGTCAGGGAGACAGAGGCCAACCCTGGAACTTGTGGACTGGGAAGACCAAGACACGTGCCCTTTCATCCCCTTCCAACTGAAGCCAGGATGACCTCTTCCTTGGGCCTGCTTCGCTTACATGTTCTTTGGGGCAAACGCAGGCTGGGCCATCTGGTATCCATCCTTCACCAGTTTGTAGAACTTGCTGTTCACCAGGATGCCAGGGTAGGGGTTCAGCCCTGCAGAGGTCAAGGTCATGTGAAGGACCACTCACTGCTTACCTTCTCCCCCTCACAAGTCCCACCTGGCCAGTGCCCTGGAGCCGCAGCTCCTCTGGTGGCCGACGCCAGGCACTGACAGGCGTAGGCGCTAGGAAAGTGAGTGCCCTTGGCACAGCCGACAAGTTCCGGCACAGGCTTTGGAGTCAGACCACAATCTGGTTGTGCATGAGTAAAGTGGGGACCATACAAGGTTACACCTCAGGGTTGTTATAGAGCAGTGCATTCGAAGACCCAGCCCAAGCCCCTGTGCCTGGTTCTCTGGACGTGGAGGTTTGAGTGGAGCAGTAAAGCATTTTCAGGTGCAGCAACTGTGTGTGCAGAGACAAATGAAAAGCCCGGAGAGTACCGGGCATCAGTGCGTGATCTGCCCAGCCCGCCCGGAGCCGTGATGCTGGGTTTCGAAAGTCCTTCCCAGCTCTTCCTCCACACTAGCCCTTCTCTGCGTAGGGACCCACATCCTTGTTCGTACCCCTCCCCAAGGTGTCAGTGGTGTAACCAAGTCGGCCTCAGCCGAGCCTGGACTGGCCCGATGGCTCACCGAGTGAGAAGATCTCCCAGAGGAGGATGCCGTAGGACCAGACGTCACTCTGAACCGTGTAGACACAGTCGAAGATGCTCTCCGGGGCCATCCACTTGACAGGCAGGGGGGCCGTGGACCACAACCCCCACGACATTTGCAC